CGCCCTTATATAGCAGTCGGCTGCTCGCAGACGAAAGCGTAGAAGCATCGAATTGTTCGCTATGGAAGGTTCTTGTTTTATCGTTTCTAGAATGTACTAGTTATCGGCTTCTCTCTTTCATCTGACATTCGCCTCGCATTTTCGCAACAATATGTATACTGACAACACCGCAACGATCACCATCCGAACGGTCGCTCGTAAAATTGTGCTCGTAATAATACCAGTCGTTTGCGCGGTTATTTGCTAAATTTTTTCTAATATGATTCATTTGAGTTCCATTTAAGTTCCTTCATTTAATATAAAAACATATAATAACTTTATAACTTATTTTTTTTACAAACAACTGCTATTATTGTAGTAATATTTATATTATTATTAAAATATTGAATATTTTTTAATTATGTCAGAACTGTATCAATGTCGATCGCTTTTATCAGCATTTCTTTTAAACATAAAACCTATATACATGCTCATATTTATATACATATATACTTAAATACTTATAAATGCATGATCACACTCCATTTGAAGAAATAAACAAACAAAATTGAATTGAACTGGAAATTCCCTCTTTTTTATTTCAATATTGAGTAAAACAGTATAACAAGAAAAGTTCAATATGTAGGGATTCACAACTTCATCGCTTTTAATTCGAAACCATCTTTTATCTGAAATACAAATTCCTTCAGCAGTGGGGAAATCAGCGACTCCCGCTTGTGCCAAACATTTCCCAACCACTTGTACTAATTCCGGTGACTGTAAATATGATTAGGAAGTTAATAAAAATATTAATATGTGTTACTGTTACATAAATACCTTTAAAAGACACCAACAAGTCTTTTTAAATCTATTTTTCTGCACGAATTTATCTTTCTGACCAACATATCCAAGTTCTTATGTTTCTTCACACAACTCACTGTTAGTTGTGGAATTAACACACTCAAAAATAAACGATCACCGTTTTACGTTGACATTTTAATATTAATTGAATTTACAAGAACAGCCTCTTCGTTGACATTTTGAAAGAAGAAAGGTACAATCACATCTTTGGACGAAAGAGCGCACCAATAATTTTTTTTCAATTATAGGATGATGCAAAGCGACAATTTTGCTTGTCGTGCCTTGCCGCTGAAGATTGGCTTCAGTAGTTATGTGAGTTGGACCTAATATGGATGTAGGAAGTTGTACAATAAGTTCAAGTGCAAAATACCCCGTTAGGTCGTGGATAAATAGACACTTTCAGGTCCTCGGATATACTTTCACTTAGTAGCAATATTTGAGGTGGAACCAGCCTTAGAATATTTGTAATTTCTTTAAAATTTTACCAATTATTTGAGTAAATGGAAGATTATGTGCATCATAATCTATACTTAAAGCGCGAAACGCACTCATTTTCATAAAGGCCTGACTTTAAGCTAAAATGCATTTTTAAATAAAGCTTGAACTAAACTGTACATTGTGCCAAAAAATTACCGTGAATTTATCATTTAAAAACTCCGCTTCAAATAATTGTCGAAACCCTTTTTGTATATAAGCTTGCACAACTTGAGTTTGAATTCGACATGTACTTTAGTTTGTTTACATTGCTCAATTATTCCAATTAACTTCAATTCTCGCCATTCGTGAGTTTTCTTTCTGCAAATTTGTCCTTTTCGTACCATTTGTTCTCTGAAACTCTGCATATTGTTCACATAATACTCTTTATCTACCGTGTACCTTGAGACAAGAATTCCGAGTACATAATACCATAATAACTCTTCGCTTCCTTTACCTACGTTTATATAAAAATAACCTCCGTAAATAAAATAGCTTATATAGCTGAAAAGGAAATAAATATATTTATAAATTACCCCTACAGGTAAAACTTAGTTTTGAGGAGCTTTCGCCGTAAATTGCAGTAGCTTCAGTGCTTTTTTGATTGTCTTTTGATCATCCATGGATATTAGCAAGCTGCGCCTTAGTCAAAATCATAGGAGAGAACCTCCAATTTTTGGCAAGAGTAGCTACCCTCTGGTATTATATTGTTCATAACATATGGACAATCAATTTGAAATTTCATGCGACTTTTAACCACAAATCCAACTCTATTAGATGCAAAAATAAACAAAAATAAAACAATATCGTCATAAAGTGATAATGCAAAATGTTAATAACAATCAGATTGTCCTCCTACCACAGGATTCAGTATTTTGATATAATCTACCCTCTAGTCTCAAAAGTTGGTAGATACTAGTTTTAATACTACATACGACTTTGCAAATCACTAACGTTGAGTATCAAATATTCTCTGCGAAATACTAATATGGACGATTAGCTGATAGCGAACTTTAGATAGAGATGCACATAAGCACTTAACAAATACGTGCTCCTAGATAACTTGCAATTAATTTTCTATATATGTTAGGATTTTCGTCGTTATATTATTATAGTACTACTTAAATCAAATATAAAGAAAAATTAGTGAACTAATACTGCCGTAATTTAAAATTATAAAATAAATTAAAACATATTATGCAGTAGTTGTTTAAATAGTAAAATTACTTAAAAGCTTATATTTTTGTCCCAATAAATGTTTTTATGCTGATAAATGTTTTTTTTTTGCAAAATTTTGTCCACTTTTTGGTTTTTCAACTTTGGAAACTCTTCAGTACGTTTGTGAAAAATTAAATTCTGTTCGGCTATCTACCTATCACCTTAATAGAAGAATTATCTCTTTTAATTTTTGATCTCCTGAAACGAGTGATGATATTTCATTGTTGAGCCGAATCATTGGCTTATATTCCTTCAAAAATAAAACCGGTCATACCGCTATAGCGCTATGAATAATGACTTTTTTGTGCCTGAATTGGAGAATGTTTATGCTACATGCTATACAGTATTGTACTATTGCTTGTGAGGTTATGTGCAGTCATTTGTCTGCACGTTGTCTAAATTATTGTATATGAGTTTTATTTCTTCTAGAATACCACAAGTAAAAAATTTTTATAACGACCGATTGGACATTTGCACATTTATATCCATTAACCAGTTCTGAATTTTTGCTAAATATTGTACTACCTGCCATTGGCAAAAACAAATTTGCTGACCATAAGTACTATTTTTTGTTCATTGGGAACTGGTATCCATTCTTCCGAACAATAATTTTATTCTCACTTGAGGTTGTTGTGATGCAAGTAAAGTTAGATTTAAGAAACTGAATAAATTAAAGAAAGTTGGAAAATTATTTTGATGATATTTATGAAACTATATTAAAAACTTCGTGAATAAAGGAAGAAAAGCTACATTTTCGAATGTCGAGATAAAGTAACTTTTTTAATGACATATGCTAAGAATAATACATATTTCTTACTTGCATTTTAGTTGACGTAAATAGCTTTTTATAAAATAGATTCGTGCTAGTTTTCTCGCGAAAGTCCTGTAATTTAAGTTTCATACTTTATGGAAATTGAATTTACATAAATTTATTAAACTTTTTAAAACGAAGTGCCAGTTTTGAAATGCTAAGAATAAGAATTTACTATGTACTGAAGTATTTGATTTGCGAGCGTAAATTATTCCAAGCAAAAGCTTAAGAATTTACATATATACATTTGAAAAGTTTTAAGACACATTGCTAGATTTTTTACACATTTATATATATATATACATATTTACACATGAACACTATTACACACAAAGAGTATGCATTTATTTGTATATATTGTTAAGTGCACTTATTTGATTCTTTGTATGTTAATTTGCGGTTTTACATAATGAACTAATTACAGTTGTTGAGACCGGGCGAGGTTGGTGACGGACAGGTGAGAAAATGCATTAAAATGTTTACGTATGCCAGACATTAAAAAAAAAACAATTGGTAATAGTATAATACTTCCGTCAATTATAAATTTTCCTTGTAGTATTTAAACTTCACATTTGCGTACACAAATAGCTAATTTTACGTGCATACACGCAACCTGCATGGGCCATAATATTCAGAGGAAAATCGCTTCAAAGCCCTCACACAAACGTAGTAGTTAGTGACTGTTATTTAATTTTAGTTGTATCACAGTAGAAGTTGTAATATTTTGAAACGTTATTCCATCTACACATTCATATAAAGATGTATGTCTCATAAGCTTTTTAGTTACCTGAAACATACATACACAACTACGCATGATTGCAAACATTTAGTTACATTATTTGCATATATAATATTATATAATTCATATGTCTTCACACCTATCTACATATATGCAAAAATATGCACTTTTTCATCGACGTGGAGCATATATGTACAAAGTTCAGGCGTGCATTGGATACTCATGCTCTTATGATGGTTACTGTATTAGCACATCCCGCGATACACCTATACGTGTCAGAAAAATATTAAATTCAGTGCAGATAAAAAGTATGTACGTATGTATGTGCATGTTTTTAAATTATGTACTCTTAATAATCATTAACTCGTTACAACTTTTATCCCTAGAAAAAGATTCAGCGACCTGGGGAAGTTGCTGACACAAAACAGGTTAAAATAATTATGATTTTTTTTTGCATTGTGAACTATTCTCCATGTTTTTGTAAAAGTTGGATTGTTATCTTCTGCATATTGTATATGTATATATATATATATATATATATATCTATATATATATTTGTGAACTGAAGCTTTAGAAAATTCAAATGTAAATAAACCTTTTGGTAATTTACTTGAATTGTAAATTAACGAGTCAAGAAAAAAAAATTCAATAATATATAATAATTCACATAAACTTAATAAAGGAAAAGAGTGGGATGGGGTTTTGGTTTATCTTAAAATTCAACAGTTTAAAAACTTATCGTAATTAGTGATATGTTTCAGTACACCACTACAAATATTGAAAAAGTGAATCATCCTAATATTTGTAAATGAAATTTTCAATGTTTTGATTTTTTCAAAATTGTTTGTTATTTACAATCGTGGTGGCCGAGTGGTTAGAATTAAGTACTGCGATTCAGCAGGCCCAGGTACAAGTTCTGGTACGGCCAACATCCAAAGGTTATAAAATAAATTTAAATAAAAAAATTAAATTAAATTTTCTATTTGCGGTTGCCCCTCGGCTCGGGACTGTCAACAGCTACGATTATATTTCTGACATGAAAGAAAGGCTCCTCATAAAAAAACCATTAGCCCTTCGGAAGGCGGCTTAGTATAAACAGTAGTTCCCTTTATTTGTTGGAAAAATATCAAGATGCAAAACTACATACATATATATAAATTCATTGTACACCGCTTGTTCGCAAATCTTTATTAAAACAGATATGTTATGTTATGATGGCTTTGCAAAATACCTATTTCGATTTTTAATTATTTTCATGGTAGCATCCAAATCGTTGACTTAATTATTTTGATAAGAGAATTAGGTAGATGAGTAGTTGCTTCTACCTGTTTCCGAACTCATGCAAACTTCATACAAACTATTTGTAAAGAAGACCAAATATTTGAATGAAGTTGAGTTCCGGGAAGACTATAAAAGGTAACATCGAAAACATGCACTTCTATTTTTATATACGAAGTGTGATCAGGAAATAATCGTAATTTAAAATTTTTTCAAAAAGTATTTATTTATTCATCAATAACTATCAAGTCCCCTTTAATTTTTTCCAATTCTCAAAACACTTCTGAAACGCATTTTTGGTATCACCAAAAGCTTTGTATGTTTTGAGTTTGCTTTTATCACCTCAATCGCATCAAAACGCTTTCTTTTCATCGCTGTCTTCAGTTTTGGCAAGAGAAATCAACGGTTTGATAACGGTTTTGTTTTTTGCCAAAAACTCACACACAAGCACCAATGTGTGCATGGTGCAAAATCCATAATTGCTTTTTTTACAATTCTGGTCGTTCCTGACGAATCGCTTTTCGCAAACTGCACATAATTTCTAGGTTATATTCCTTATTGACCGTACGACATTTTGGCAAAAATTCATGATGCACCACGCCATTCCAGTCTGAGAAAACAGTAAACGAAACTTTTGACATTTAATTGACATCTTTTCGGCTTTCCTTAAACTGGTTGAACTTGTGTTCTGCTTATAGCAGACTCGCCAAACGCCACATCGCATTTAAAATAATTTTTTACACAAAATTTAAACTGTATTAAATCTGATCAATTTTTTCGAATGGTAAAAAATCGAAGGGCACACCAAAACACGACTAAGCTTTGTATCTGTCCATCCAATCCAAAATGGCTAATATTGCCAACATATAATATATAATATAACAGACATGTGTACCGACATAACAGAAAAAAAAGCGAAAATCGAACATGAGTAACTCATGTAATTTGAAAATGACGGACACTTTCTGATCACGCCTCGTATAATACTACTAGTTATATCCTGCCACAAGTTGTTGTGACTTTTTGTATTTTGTTTAATTTTCATTCTAATTTGTATTACAAAGAACGAAAAAATAATATTATATTATACTTTTGACCTGACTACTTATTTGCATTTGTGTCACTTCTTTCCTGCTGTTTTTCACGAAAATTTCGATATGAACGGAAATATATTAATAAAAATACCAAGGGAACATACCTTCGCACGATCTATGCTTATATCCAAATCATACTTTTTTGTAAATATGTCTGTGATTCCTTTCCCGTTAAGGAAGTATTATCTAAATTTCAAATCAAACTTGGTTTCAGGGCTCTGGCAGGTCCAGAAAACAAAAGTTTTCCGTTCAGGCATACTATTCAAACATTTTAATAAACAAACTATGGCGATGTATATTTCTTAAAAATAGATCGATCTACTTCCAGTAAAAAGAAGTTTAATTAAAAAAATATATAATAAATACACTTTTTTCGCAAAAAGCCATCTACGAGTATGTCCAATTTTCAAGTACAATAAATAGCACCATAAATTTGAAATTTTCGAATATGCACCGAATAAATCGATCCGTGAATACGATTTTTTTGAATAGGTCGGCCGAAAATCGTTTCAGCAGTTATTCCAATAAAAGTTTAACCATATGTCATTGTACGCCCAAAGTACGTGCGGAAATGGTTCCCCGAACATGTGGTATCGAAAGGAGAGGATATCGATTGGCCACCAAAAACCCCCAATTTAACTGCACCAGACTTTTTCATATGGGGGTTTTTCAAGAGCAAAGTGTATTTCAACAAACCGAAGACCTTGGACGAACTAAAGATCAAAATTCAAGCTGAAATCGCCACGATATCGCCCGAGATGCTGGCAAAAGTAATGGAAAATGCTGAACAAAAGAAAATGCTGCGCAATGAAGACCTTAAGTTTGATAAAAAAAAACAAAGTTTATCAGAGTTCATTGAAATTTTTTCAAGTTATTCAAAAACAGAAAAATTAAGTTAAATTTTCTAACTGCGGTCGTCTACGGCAGTCTCCGTGTGTATTTTGGGCATGAAATAAAGGCTCCTTGAAAAGAAACTCAGCCGCACGGAGGCGGCTTAGTACAAACTGTAGGTCTCTCTATTTGTTGGAAAAATATCAAGAAGCAAAACCACAAATTGGAGGAGGAGCTCGGTACTTCAGTGGTTACAAAGTGCCAATTACACATATATGTATTCAAAATTTCCATTGACCACATATAGATGGTGCACCCTGTATAATTCGACACAATATGTGTAAGTATTGGTGCAAGACCATTTTTTAAAAAATATAGAATTACTCCTGCAAAGGAAGTATAATAGCTCCAAAATTTAATTATAGCCTGAAGCCGACTCATCAGATATTGTAATCGTCCATACCTCCGCACCATATAGCAGGACGGGAACGATAAGCGAAGTGTAGAATTTGGTTTTCGTTCGGCGAGAGGGAACTTTACTTTTACACTGCCTACTCAGTCGGAAGTAGCATCTGTTATCAAGGATCATTCTGCATTGAATTTTTAGAGATACATTGTTGTTGTTGTTAATACTGGTTTCAAGATATACGAAGTTATCTAAAACTTCAGCTCTTTCTGCCATGTTTGAGTAGTTCTGCCGGTAGGTCCTCAGCTCCAGCCGCTTTGCTGTTCGCTTTCGAACTTTTTCATAGTCAGGTAATGGGGCGTATTTTCCATCGTCATTGATTAGGGTTTCGGGTTCACCATCTACGGATTTACTCTTAGCATCGGTTACTAGATCACTTTTTTGTGTCGAGTTTTGTCCGGTGTTGCTCCCTTCTGTAAGCCGTAGTTTTTGTGATAGAATTTTCGAGCGTTACCCTTGTCGATCAGGTTCTCAAGCTCTTCATACTCACAAGTCGAGGCATCTTTCTTTTTTGTGTGCAGATGCGTCTTGTTTCTCCCTCAATTTCCCGGTATCTATCAATGGGTTACGTGTAGTGGTCGATTGCAACGTTGCGAGATAGACAGTCTGTTTTCTCTCCACTGCGACACGGCAGTTTTCATCGCTACTAGCTAATTTTGTGACCTTTATGAAATCCAATAGTTTCGTTTGAAGCTTCACGTATGGAGCTTGAAATGGCGTTCCACAATTCCCTTATACCCAGTTTTGGATAAGAGAGTCTAGTAGGAAACCGTACGGTAGTTCGTTGTGATTGCAGCTTTTCGAACTTTCCTTTCCACCTCGATGTTGGGACCTCGGAGTGTTCGCACGTCAGAATCTTGGAGACATGTCTTGCGTCTATCACAACATTATCAATGTGGTTGAAAGTTTTTCGATCGGGGGACAGCAAAGTAGCTGTTGTGCTGGAATCTAGTATTATAGACAACCAAATCTCAACCCTCTATTCGGTTGAGGCGATCAGCCTCAACCCATTAGTGATGTTTCGTTGAGGACGCTGAATTTTCCGACAGTTGTACCAAAGATACCTTCTTTGCCCACCCTTCACCAAACATAACCTTCTTTACTTTATGCTGCCTATAATGCTAATACACACACATAACACATACATATCTAGTATACATCTGCTTTTACAATATATGCTATATAATAAAAAGCATTGTAGTTTATGCTTTTATGCTCTTCTGTCAATTACATACATACATATTTACCAATTACATACATATTTACCAATTACATAATAATTTTGACCATTAGTATATTTGTTTATTTAGTAATTTATTTGTAGTTTTTATAGTAAGTGCTTACTTCTAGTTCAACAGTAACAGAGTTAAACGTAGTTATGATACTTGCAAATCCTTTTATTTGTTAGTTTATCTTTCGTATAACCGAATAAATATTTGTTAACCTAGTTAAATACTTATTAAACTCTCACAACATATTTATTACTATAAATTATTCTAATATATTATATTTGTTATTCCTTGATATATGTGAATGCCCTCTGTCGATTATCCAAATATTTGCATACGTGTATATAATGCTTTTATGTGGAATAAACAGCGTCGCAGAACATCAATAGATGTACGTCGACCCAGTGTGCAGGATCTTGAAGACTTAATTAACAAGGCATCGACACCGTTACGAGAAGTCGGAGATGGTGGCCCACCGCAAATTATTGATGTGCAAGAGTCATATTCAGTGGTTGAAGGTGAGTTGTATTTGTATTTCATACGTTATGTATGTATTTTGATGTATATATAAAAAACATACATTCATACACGAGGTAAAATAGAATTGTTGCTTTTCCCTGTAGAGGCTCTTCAAATAATATATTATGTGCAATAAATTTTCTTTCTCTTTTTTCCATTCTATTGGCTATTTAATTAAAATTGATATTATTAAGGTGAGAATTATGCTCTCAGTTTAACAATGAAAAATGGTTCTATTTGAACATGTAATGTATAATCCGTTTGTTCCGAAGTGTGTAAGCTCCAGAACTAAAGAGATAGAGCCATCGAAGTTTATACCGATATGGTTAGATTGACGAGTTGAGTTTCTAAATAAATCGTCTTTCAATTTGGATGGCATCATCAGAATCAGAATGCTCATTTGTACAAACATACGATTGTGCCTGTACAAAATTAAAAATAAGTTTTGAATATTGCATCGTAAATATAAATAAACTCTCAAATGATTTTTTGGTAGATACACATTTTCCCAATTTTTTTTTCCTATTTTGTTCAAATCCGTTTTTTTATTGTTAGAAATAATATATGAAATAAATGGTGTGCCAAAATGAACGCAAGATTGGAATTAAACATAAAACATAGTTTTTTTTCGATTTTAAATAAAAGTGGCTGAATTTCATTGATGCAACGTTAAATCTCCTCCCTTGAAGCACGCGTGGTTCTGTTCTTGATGCAAAAGACTTGCAAGAGGTAAGCGATTTGGAATAGCCCCATAAAAGGAAATCTAATAGTGTCAAATCCCACGATCTATGGGGCCAAATCTGATAACCAAACCGAGGGAGTGCATGACCTGGAAATGCATCAAGCAGTAATTGAAGTGCATTGACTGTTTTACTATTGGACCCATCACTGCTTAACCAACTTCATTTTCAAAAAAGTATGGTTCAATTATGCCTCTACCCAAAACACCACAGTGACACGCTGTGGATGCATGTGTTTTTCAGTAATCACCTCTCAGAAAACCAGAAGCGTCAATTTCGGCGATTAGGCTGCAGTTGTTGAGCTAATTTAATTTTGTAGGTATGGGGACACAGATATTTAATGAATATCCGCTGTAAAGAGCTTTATGTAATTTGTAACACTCTCACTCACTGCTTCGACGACCAGAGTGTTTGACGTCTCCAAAGGAACCTGTCTCCCGAAATTTTTTAATGAATCTTTTCACAGTTAACGAACAGTTCATATTTTGTAAAAAGTTTACGAACTACGGTAGCCAAGTTTTCATTAATTTTGATACAATGTTCAATGATGAGGACACGTTGGCCCAGAGTGTTACGCTTCATTTTTACCAAGCCTAAGCTGTCAGCTTTCGATTTGCTATTTTTTTAGGGTTGTCAACACTTTACTACATAGATGGCGGAGAATGTAAATCTTGCGTTAATTTTAGGACACCATTTATAGGTGCACGTTAGACTTTTTTCATTATTACTTGAAAAAAAAGTAAATTCATTTCGTGATTTTTTATAAGTAAGTATACATATGTATTAAATACTTATGTTCACACATTTAGAATATATCACTGCATTTGTATATGTATTGATGTACCAATGTATGTTTATCTCTTACCATTATTTGTTCCTCTTAACCCTAATCCCCATCCCAAAACGTATGAATATAGACTCGACGGCTTATATGACAGTCGGCGTTGAAGGCAATCCAGCACCGACATTTAGATTCTATAAAGGTGTTAGTGAAATTATCGAAGGTGGTCGCTTTAAATTTCTCACCGATGGTCAAACAAATTCCATTACGCTCTGTATGCGAAAGTGTAAACCCAATGATGAGGGGAAGTATAAAGTGGTTGTTGCGAATATACACGGCGAAGATTCGGCTGAAATGCAATTATATGTGTCTGATTCTAGTGGCATGGACTTCCGTGCTATGCTAAAAAAACGTCGTTATCAAAAATGGGACAAAGAAGAAGAAGATCCCAATTGGGGTGAATTAAAACAAACAGAAAAACCATTGCCAACACTCAAAAAAGTTGAGAGGGTAAGAAAGTATTTCATAATTACATACGGCAACTGCATAATAATTGTCACAATTTACTAAAATATGCTTACCTTTCTATTAACCATTATACGTTAAGTACTAATAGCTTAGAAAATACGAGAAGCTCATTTGTACATTATTTTATATAGTACATATAGCGTATTAATCAAAATGTAGAAAAATTATACACATACATCAACAATGATAATTGTTTGAAGTGTGAAACAATTGCCCCAGTTTTGGAGCGATGACTAAAAGAATTTTCAAAGCTTTTACATTTAAAAGAAATGAACAAGGTTTATTACACAGTAAAAGAATCGTTATTAGCTGCTCACACAGCATGTCAAAAATTAAATAGAAAAAATCTAACCAAATTCCATTTCAATTATGAAAAATTTCTAACACGGGCAGTGAATGACGTTTTAAATATAATTATTTGTTCTTTCACCCAGATTTCTATATAACTAAGTCTACGGTCAGGATCAAAAACTTTGAACCTGAAACTATGCTATTCAAATTCAATTAATTGCAAAAATATAAGTTGCAGCCTGTGTCTGCACTCATTTATCAGCACTTTTTTCTTTTGAAATTACTATTAAAGACTTTGAATATTGTCGAGGAAAATGTTTGGTCAATCTTTGTGAAATAACTATATTTCCAGAGTTTGAAATTCAGTTTCGATTAAAATTTGTGTGTTAGTTATGACTGCTCTTCAAACTAACTTTCAAATGACGTCTACTATATTGTCATTTACCTGAAAATTGAAATATCCTATCTCTGACTCAAAATTCCAGGGTTATAGATAACCGTGGGCTCTTATAGGAATCGGAATTTCTTAACCATGTTCTGGAATTTCTGTATATCGTATTTCGATCGCAAAAATCCAACCAAGTTTTTTTTTGGAGGATTGAGTCCTTTTTCCTCCAGAATTTTAATTGAAGAAGAACAAAAATCTATAGAATAGCGGTAAATTACTTGCTTTTAACGTTTTTCTTAAATTAAATTGTATCATTGAGTAAAGATGCAAACACCCAAGAATAATTTTGAAAAACATAAATCAAATTAGAATTAATCTTAGGAGACTTAAGTATATTGCTCCGCAATGTTTTATCACTCATTTAACAAAATTTTCTATTACATTAAAGGGATAAAACATCACCTTCGCCTTCTCAAATAAGATTATATTTAAATTCTCGGCCTTCAACATTAGATCTCTACTTTTTTAGTAAATCATTTACATAAAACTAAAAATAATATTTTCATTTTAAATAATTTTTGTTTCGTCGACATGCAAATAAATTTTTTTCTTGCTAAATCTTACTGGCGGAAGAAATTTGCAACTTTCCTCCAAAGCAAATGACAAAACTATGCTCCTTCGTTGCAAATTTTACTAGCTTTTGGTCTCAGTAAAAGCGATCCAATGACAGTTGGTAAAAATTGTTACTGGCCAGAACCTCACCGACACTTTCAATTCCGATTTGGAAATTCCAATTGATGCGAAGTCAATTCCTATGGGATTTCAAAATAGCCCTGATAATTAGAATTTTATAATTTATGCTACTATTTTTTGTATGTCCCTACACTCATTATAGAAGAGTAAATTACGAGCGAAATCACCTCGCCTCGCCTTTTAGTCTATTTCAACAAAATTCGGTAAGCAAAGCTGTTTTAATGCGAAGGCCACAGTATAAGCAAAGACCAGACTGTAAAGACAATCCACTGTGGAAACAAGTGGCGTGGGCGGGCCCAGTGCTGAGTGAACAAAAGTTCTTACACTTCGCGGGTGCTTATCATTATTATTTTTTCTAAATATGGTCCGACTTTCGTGGTAATAAAGCGCAAATTATATTACATAATGCATATTATTATAAGTACATACTTTGGCAGGTTAAGCCACTTATTTTTAATTACTTTATTTCTTAGTTAGTGGCCTGTTGCTCAGAAAGTAAAAACTACATCTAGGTCTTAGTCTTCTTGTAGATGTATGACATCTGACCCTGTAATGTATTCCCATCAGGCCAAAAAAAATAAGAATGACATTTCATACATGATGCTCTCAGATCTAGCCTCACGGAGATGGGTATGAACCTACTAAATAGTTCGACCGCTAGCGGTCAAGTTTGCAAACTTCCCCTTCATTAGCGAAATATATGACAAAATTTATGAGTTTACTTCCTTAGCACCTATACTTGAAGAATAGTAACATTTTATGCACTAATCGCATTTAGAAACTTTTACAGTTAAATATTATACATAGTTTTTATCAAAACTCTAATGAATACACAATTAAAACTCAATACATATATATACAAGAAAAAAAGTTAAAAGCAAACTAAAAATGTAAACTTTTCAATGTGTTTTATCTTATATTAAATAAAATTTTGTATATGTACATCTAGGCAACACGATCACGTAGACCGTCTTTAGCCGAATTGATACCCGACTGGCCGACATTACATCCGTTTCGTCGCGAGGAGGTTCGAATACCGGCACCAGCCCCAAGTCTTAACCTATTACGACACTTTTTACTTACATTTCTTGCCAGGCAATTTTGGCATGCAACCTGAATATTCTCTACCGCTACATCGATGTTGTTTCATATAAACTATCTATTTCACATTTGCGAAAGAGTATTCATTATTAATATTTTTATAATAGCAAAAAATTTAATTTTATTTGTAATCAAATACCAACAAAAGCCTATAAAAGGCAAAGGGATCTCAATTCTACATATACATATATTATATATGTATATCTGTGTGTATACTCTATTGTGTATAATTTTCACGTGGTGCTGCAACGTTTTTAAAGTTCGTGGTTAAGAAGCGCAACTGAATGTATGCCAAACTTTGCTTAAAGTAATTTGGTATTTTTGTGTGTACCATTTTGCAGACTGTACAACTCTATCTCTTTCCAACATTGAATTTATCCATTATATGTAACTTCTTTTTCAAAATGCGTTGTGTAATAGCCGAACGCCTCACTGCACAAAATCTACCAAAATTTTGCACCACGTAAATTTTTTCTGCACTAATAACACAAAAAACCGAAAGTTTTGCAATGTCCCACTCTGAATTTCTGAAAAAAAAGTTTAGTCCTTTAAATAAAACGCTTAAATAACCAAAAAATTATTGTTGTGTATTGTTTTTTTAGATGTTGTGCTAATATTTTTATATTTTGAGGGGGAGAATCTAACTCTCAACGATTGGCGATATGCCTAATGTATTTTTGAAGCTTTTAATGAAGATTAGCCATATTCCAGAAAAAAAGTTTCATCGAAAAAAGTGTTATATTGATTATTTTTAGACTAAGGTATAAAAAGCTTTAATTCATGAAATTGTGAAAGGTATATCCCATAGATATAAAGGTATTCACGTAGCAAGAGATATGGAATGAACAATAGCGTACTGCAAACCGAATTTCAAACCGAATTTCGCTAATTTCGTGGGCAAGATTGATGAAAATTTTCCATAAATAGCTTAAATGATGCCGTGGTAAGGAATAAATTAAAACAATGGCGGTTTTTTTTAGTTTTCGATCAACGCTTACTTATACGTTCAGCATTTTCATGATAAGCTTTTGATGTAGAGTCGTACGGCTGCCGAACTATGCCTTCTTTCAAAATTTTGTGGATGGCTTTGCGTAGTGAAAAACGAACTCATGGAATATATCTGCTCCATATATAGCTATTTTAAGAGGTCCTATTACCAAAATTTCACAAGAAAGTATAAAAACATAGTAGTTTTAATCTAAAGTACAATGGCTATGCGCATTAATATGTATTCATCACGTCATTATTTAGGAATATATCAGGTAATATGTATTTTATATGTTGTATTTTCCGAAGATTATGTAACTTTTTCTGTGGTATGCATTCTCATTAAAAATCTACTTTCACTTTTTTGTGTGTCGTTTACACATTACAAAAATTGGGTACCCCTACAATAATAAAAAATTGATTAAAAATGGTGTAAGTGTATTATTGAAGTAAAAACTAAAAAAAATTTCAACAAAAGCAATATTTTTTTGTTATGCTTGTGTATAACATTTTTAATTTTATTAAATTTTAGTTTTTTAATCACATACTTCAAGTTTCTTATTTTTTCGTAAGTATTTGAAGCAGAAAATTGTCGCTTTTGTAGAACATCATCGTATAATAATATTATAGTTGTTTGCATATTTTGATTTACGATTTTTCCAAATGCTTAAATACTAATACGTTTTTTTTTCATATAAGCTATTAACGTGTGCTTGTTATGAACATACAAGCATATACGCGCCGCAAACAAATGCATGAACAAAAGAACGACTTTTAATTTATGTTAAACATCCAACTAAATGTAACTCCGACCAAGTCAAAAAAAAAATATAATAGCCATTCAATTAATTTGCGGTACATAAATGCTAGTACGTACATACACATGCTCAGTCACAATAAAAAGAACGAACTACATACTATTCTATGTATTCTGCTTATGCTTAGCGATCAGCAGAATATGCACTTGTTTTCAATTGATGTGCATACACACGTTCAAGTCAATTGGTAGGCACTGGTATTTATTTTGCTATTTTTTGAGCGTAAAATTTTGGCATTGTTCTAAACTACAGCCAAAAACTACAAAAAAAAATATATTAATGATGTATGACAATTGAAAAAAAAATAATTTTACAAATTATGTTTCTTTTCCCATTTTTGACAACGCAAATCTTAATTTCGCCCCAATAATAAAAAAAATAATGATATGTATCCAAAACTACAAAATCAACGAAATTATTTAAAAAATGCCTACCACATGCATGCTTTGGAAAACCACTACAACAATAAACAATGAATTGGATAAAAACTCGACAAAATTAAAAATAAATATATGAACAATAAAATATTTAATATTAATATAATAACATGGGAAATATTTTATTGAAAAAATATGCATAACTCAAAATAAAAATGATATAATAATAAACAGAAACAAGAATCCTTCCTCAGCCCGTTAATTGATCAGTTTGCCAAGGAAGGTAAAGACAAGAAGGTTGTGTTTGAAGCTCGTTTCAGTAAGCCCAATTGTAAGACCAAATGGATGTTGCGCAAAGATGTAAGTATATATAATACATACATAAATATATAGTATTATTCGTACAAACATTTGTATGTATAAACCTACAAATATATAGTTCAACATGAGCATATACAGACGACTACAATAGAATAAGGGAAATAAAATATCTATATATTTTGGCCACACAGATATTAATTTCCCAGATGAAACTATGAATACATTGTTTGAAAAGTGATGAGATCTTAATAAATTAATGTATTTAAGAGTGATTGTATATATGTAACAAAAATAAGAGTTATTCGTTTAAAATAAAAAAAATTTTAAAGTTATATGTATCGAATCAAAACCAAAAGAGTAGAGGGGTTTCACAGGACAGAGTAAGTTATGCGACATGAAGGGAGAATATATAGAATTTAAAATCACGTGAAGTATGGACCATTTGTAAACTACGACTTTAGCTTTCTCTTTAAAATTAAACTAAGCCCATTTTTCATACCATAAAAAATAATTAGAAAATCCCGGACTCTTTTTCATCATTAAAAAAACAATTCAAAGCTTTCGCTGCGGTTATGTTAACTCAGGACCTTAACAAAAATATCTCGACGATGTGTGGTATTAGTATAACATATTATTTGGCGAGTTGTTAATTTAATTTTATTCCTTTGTATTATCTTCTTGTTTTTGTTCAGCTAACAGTTTCTTATTAAAAATGTATTATCTCACAAAAAGGAACTTTTCACTGGAAGCAAATACAAATTTAAAAATGAAAATGACACTTACCAGTTGATTGTGATGAATCCCAAAGTGGAAGATGGTGGAAAGTATACGATCGAAATTGGTGGAGTTTCTAGCACAGCATTTTTAAATGTCGAAGAAGCTGATCCCAGCTATACATTTACTAAGCCTCTCAAGAAGAAGATCGAAGGATTTACGAAACACGAGACAACGTTAGAGTGCGCTGTTAGTAGTAGCATGGCCAATGTAACCTGGTTCAAAGATAATAAGAAAATCGAATCTGACGATCCACGTTATCTTATATCCAAAGATATTAATGGCAACCTTAAGCTTATTATCAAGGAGTCTCTACTTGAAGATACCGGTCAGTACCGCTGTCAATTAGATAAACAGCCCGATAAGACTGAAGTGGCAGTTAAAATTGTCGAGTATCCATATAAGTTTGTGAAAGTATTGAAATCACTACAATGCATTGAAAAGGACAATGTAACACTGGCATGTGAAATTGATGATGCTACTGGTGAAGTGCAATGGTGGCGTGGCGATGACGAAATCAAGGGTGACAAACGCATGCAAATCGTTAAGGATGGACGAAAACGGAAACTTATAATTAAAGACTGCAAAGTTAGCGACGCGGGGCAATTTAGATGTACAACAAATGCCGATAAAACAGAAGCAGAAATTATCATCAATTGTAAGTAGTATTAAAATGAGATTCAAAATTAAATTCTAAATATATAAAATACCCCAGTTTCAAATAACATTTATTCATTGCCATTTCTATTTTGACATCGTAAAATTAGATCAAAATCGTTTCAATAAGAAGCTTAAGGACACCGATGCCGTGGAACGGGAAAAATTGATACTTGATGTTGAATTACAAGATCAAACTGCACCGTGCGAATGGAAGATTAACGGTAATCCTATTGAACCGAATGAACGCATCGAAATAAAAAATATTGGTGGTGGCAAGCATCAACTGATTTTTAATAATCTCGAACTCAGCGATGAAGGCGAAATAACTTGCGAATCTGGTAAATTGTCATCCACATGTAAACTAGCAGTACGCGTGGGCGAAAGCAGACCTAATATTGACTGCCCTGCTGAATTCGCTGGTTCAATTAGTGCTCCTGTAGTTTTAGAAGTGCCATACAAAGGTGAGCGGTTTCCCTGGTTTGTTGCTTTATATTTCAGAAATTTTCTAGTAACTATAAAGGAGTGGCTCAAGTACTTACGAAATTCGCAATTTTGCAAGAAATGTAATATTACAATAATAGAATAAGAAAAAGCAAACTTTTATTTTCTTTATATGCCTTAAAAGTAGGCCACTGAGTTATAACACGCTCTTGCTTGCGTTTTTTGCAATACCCGAAGCATTTTTAATGTGCTCTTTTTGGTATGTCTTTGAGTTCCTTCAAAGACTGGGTGCTTGTCTCCTCAACCACCACGAAGCACTGTGCCTCAATTAGTCTCTTCAATTTTGGAAACAGGAAAAAGTCGTATGCCACCAATTGAGCAACCGAAAATCTCGGGAAATGTAAAACAATTCTAGACTATATTTCTCTCCTAATTATACTTAATGATAGCGACAGTTATATGATCAATTTTTAATTTTATATTATTACTTAACCACTTACTCATCCTACTCTCTCCCCAAACTCAGCTTGGTGTTAATACTATACTAGCAGACAAAATGTTTTTAATGAATATAGGTTTTTTATGCAACCTCTATGAATATTGTTGCTTAGGGTAATTCATTGCTTGACTCTGAATTACAATATATAGTTAGTGTATTCATTGAGATTCTGCAAAAAGTGGCTATACGAAAACGTGTTAAATCTGAAAATTAAGGAACAAACAAAATATGTTTACAAAGAGGTGCACCACATAACAGTGCAAAATTGCAAATAAATGCAATCCAAAGTGTTCCTTAAACCAAAACAGTTAGGTCGCTACCTTGCGAACTTGATTGAGTACCAACGGAAATGTATCGCTGCTGTAATAGCGCTAAAAGTTCAGAGCCAATGCACGCCAGTTGGCAGATATGCGCTCGAAAAGTAAGTCTACTAGGTCGACTAGGCTATGGTATACATTTAACAATGCAATTAAATCTTCCTTCCGCAGTAAATTTTGATTGCACTTTTCTATTTGTTGGTCATACGAGCTTAGTTTGGGCACGTAACTCATTTATCACAGAATCTGATCATATCAACTTAAGCCTAAGATTAAAAAAACGTGTTAGCTCGACTTAACTTCGTGCCGTTTTTAAAATTTGGTTCTCGCTCATTAGAAGGCGGGAACATCTCTCGGCTGCAGTCGGGAATTACTGAATGAGTTGTGCAAAGCATTAGCTAATAGTTTGGGGTGATTTCCCAGTTTCTTGAGGTACTTTCTTCTCCTCCATTTAACTTCAGGCTTAACCAGTAACATACCAAGGTTTTTATGTAGGTTTTTGTCATGAACGTACCTTAGAGTTTTGGACTAGAACCTTTGTATACTCTCAATATCAGACGAAAGGCCATACCCTAAAGTTGAATATATCTAAATTAGCTTTATAACTTCATGGTAAATGAGTACTTCGTAATCTAGTTTTAACTCAGAGTTCTTAAGTAAAAGCCAATTAAAGCTAGCAATTTTTAATTTCATATGTTATTCTTTGGTATCTACACATATGTCTTTCCCAGTTAAGACTTACATCAAGTATAGCGAGATACAAATATTACATTATTTGCTTGGGAAATATTTATACCATTTGAGTTAATTACAGGACATATTTGTGGGAGTATTGTAAATGTAATGTGTTTAAATTATTGTCATTGTCTTTATTCTCCAATTTGCCAGATAGGGAGGAAATAGTCCTCAATCGTTTTCTACTTTTATCATTTATTTTCGGTTAACTGGGACCTCTGCAGTGTATATAATGTATCGTACAGGCCCAATCATTCATTACCATACTGAAACCCTTTCCCCGCCTTTGGAAATTTATATAGTTTAAGAATGAGATTAAAGAGTTCAAAGGTCAGTGCATTTTTAAGAAAGTAAGGTCTTAGCCTAGAGATTTTTTTAGGTCCACTTGCTGGGCTGCATTAGCAAGTTCCAGGGTTGATGTTTCTACCTTCAACTTAGTTTCAAGATCGTTTGCAAATAATTCCGTTTCCATCATTTAGCTGGAACACTTTGCTTAATTGTTTCGGGGGAAAATTTGCCTTACTACGCGCTCAATTTAAATATTCCTGATTGGCATTCTCACATAAACTGGAGACTTAATAAAGGTCTTACATACATATGTGCCATCGAGAGTAAATATTTTTGGCTAAAATTTGGCATCAGTTTTTCTATATATGATTTAACGTTGTGGTCTTATGCTGATTTTAACCGCATCTTTGTATTATTGTACTTTTTACTATTTTAGTATTTATTTAGTATTTGTTATAGTTTAGACTAGTAATAATACTTTGTATCTTTGAAGTTGCTAAGGTATCTGCAGAGGCGAGTATGAAAATAAATTGAAAATTGCTCATCAATATCATTTTCACACTTCGTATTAACTTTAGGTTAATAAGATTACTTGTAAGTTTTTTATATCTGAACCCGTGTTTTTTTTTTTGCTTGTTTGTCTCGGCTTTTGGGCAGAAATCATTGGTACCTCTTAAGTTTTTAATGACCGGTCAATGGTCCTAGGATAAGACAGCAACACAGCTGGTACAAATTGTCGGTCAATTTTTTCTTGAAACAGCGAATTAATAGACTTCACTTCGTCGGGTATTTTCTTCCGACCAGTAGGCTAATATGCTGGTTGGCCTGGAGAAAAACAGTCTAAATTAGTACGAATATTTAAAATAGTGGTGCAAAGCTGGCGTCCTTTTGGGTTTACTAAACGAGACCCCAATAAACGCGCTCCCTATAATAGATTTTCTTTAATTTTAAATTGTGGAGGGCAATAAGTTTACCTCTTTGCCATAGATATTCAATGAGAGAAAGGTAGCTTGTATTGTACATATATAGTTGATGGCATGTGACTGTAAGGTAAGATGTAGAATTTTTTGCGGTTTCTTATAAGTTTCCCAGAGCCACTGTGCACTTTACCAATGTAGTAGTTGACTCGAGGGTCCCTTTGCAAATCTTTCGAAAGAAAAGAATTGGGTATTCGATTTAATTTAAAACAATGTTTTATTTAGTTATAATTATTTAATCAATTAGATGTACGTATTTCTATTAAAGTTAAGTGAATGCACTGCTTGTGGATTTCAGCATTGATATAATGCACATGAATTTAATATATGCCATGCTTTCTAGGAAGTTTACAATGATTTTAATTGCCGATGTGTTGATGTGAAATTTCGTCGGTTGTTTTGGCAATATTTGATGCAATGTGTCTGCTTTATGGTGCGCACAAAATATACGAGGTTTTTACGTTGGTTGACAGCATTCGCATTCCAAAAGCCCATATTAAAGACGCTCATTTTTTATTCATGAACATTTTTAACATGAATAGTGCTTTACGTAAGTCTTGAATCACATCTTACATAGTCGTCATGAATTGTGTCACGCCGTGGCTTCCATACCTTCATCAGATTGATTCTGCGAAATCTGAATTGTTCTTTAAAACGTTGGCGTATTTAATTGATTTGAATATATTTTTTCTGCAGATATGGGAAGATTTTGACCGTAGCTTTTTTCTACATCTTGAATTTGAGATCTGTATATCAAACAATTTTTTTATTGGCCTCATTTTTCTTTGACGTGCATTCAGGTGTGGGATGTAGATCTCCACACGCTACACAAACATTGCGCTGTGGGAAATATGACAGAATTCTTGACAGTTGGTATATTGAACTTTTATATGGCTTTTCTACTGCTATCATTTTAATAATCAGTGAAATGAATATTTTTGGGACTGCGAATATTTTATTGGGATAGCTATATATTGTTTTGCGATTGTCTGTGTGGTTTCTTTCACTGCGCAGAGCACTTACAACAACGATAAGGTGCCATTGACTTTTGGTTCGATGATCCATTGAAGTATAATATGTACAGAGGTTTAACTTTCCAATCATATGGTCGACGAAAAACTACAGCAAGGTCCAAAAATAGATCAGCCTTCCAATGTGTTGCAAACAATGAATATAGGATAGTTTTCTCAAAAATAACGTTGGTTAGGTACAAGGAACACTACCTGTCCTGCGTACCAGGTGTCAGGTGTGGTAAAAAATTATGTTATTTCTGAAAAGCTATTTTGCACTAATTACTAAACCATAAATTTTATACTTAGAGCTGATCGCTATAGGGTGAAAACCTAATTATTTAAAAAAGAAGAAAGAATTGTAAACTAGAAATAAGTGAAAGATTAAAAGCGTATAATAAATCACCACCGTACTTATTTCCTTTTATTCCAACCCCAATTTTAGTTAACGGTACAAGACAAACACCCGTGGAAGCCAAGTTGGTCAAAGATGGTAAAACATTGCCTGTGAAGGATGTTGAAGTGGGTGTAACTGAAGACAAGATTACCTTTAAAGTTAAGAAACCAGCTCGTGATATGTCCGGTTCTTATGAAATAAAATTATCTAATGGGCAAGGTGAAGATGTAAAAAGCGTAACAGTTATATTCCAAGATGTACCACAGCCACCCCAAAATGTCGATGTTGTGGAAGTTTTCCAAACATCATGTAAAGTAACTTTCGATAATCCTGACGATGATGGTGGGTTACCAATTATAAAGTACATTGTAGAACGTCAAGATTTAAGTAAAAAGCAAAGCTGGGAAGTTGTCGCTGAGGTTCTGCCGGAAGGACAACTTTTAAAGAAAATTGAAGATCTAACGCCAAAAAGACAGTACAGATTCCGTATACGTGCTATAAATAAAATAGGCCCATCTGAACCTGCTGCTTTCAAAAATATCGTATTAGCAAAAGATCCCTGGGATGAGCCGGGAAAACCGAAGAATGTCGATCTTACAGACTGGGATAGCGATCATGCTGATCTTAAGTGGGATGCTCCCGATGATAATGGAGGCGATCCTATATCAGCTTATATAATTGAATATAAAGAAAAATTTTCCAGCGATTGGGTAGCAGGTAAAGAGGTACCCAGTGATGCTCATATGGGTACAGTGGATGGATTAAAAGAAGGACAACAGTATGAATTCCGAGTCCGTGCTGTTAACAAGGCTGGTCCAGGTGAACCTAGCGACAAAACGAAGGCAATAATTGCTAAATCCCGTTTTGTAAAACCGTTCATCGTTGGTGATGGCCTTAAGAACATCGTTGTGAAAAAGGGTCAGACAGTACGTTTCGATATCAAATATGATGGTGAACCAGAACCGTCAGCTAAATGGCTTAAATGTACAGAAGTTTTAATTTTCGATAATCAACGCCTTATACTTGATCAAATGGAACGCAATTCATGTATTACTATTAAGAAGGCTGTACGCAAAGATACCAGTATTTACAAAATTGTTTTGTCCAACAGCTCTGGTTCCATCGAATCTGAGTCACAAGTAACTGTACTGGATAAACCATTATCACCAAGTGGTCCAATGGAACCGGAAGAAGTGCGTGCTGACCACATTAAAATGAAATGGAAGCGTCCACAAGACGATGGTGGCTGCGAAATAACTGGTTATGCATTGGAAAGAATGGATGAAGAAACTGGCCGTTGGATACCAGTTGGCGAAGTAGGACCTGGGGAAACATCTTTCAATTTCAAGGGACTTACGCCAAATAAAAAATATAAATTCCGTGTAAAAGCTGTAAATAAGGAGGGTGAATCTGAGCCATTGGAAACGACAGAACCGATTGTTGCCAAAAATCCATTTGACCCACCAAGCCCGCCCGGGAAAGCAGAAATTGTTGATTATGACAACAAGAGCGTGTCGCTTATGTGGAAACGTCCACCATCCGACGGTGGAAGACCCATACTGCATTACATTGTTGAAGTTAAGGACAAATTTTCAGCTACTTGGAGCGAAATAGCAAAAACTGAGAATGCAACTCCTGAATTTTACGTTGATGGTCTTAAAGAAAAAATGGTATATCAATTTCGTGTACGCGCTGTAAATAAAGCCGGCCCATCCGAACCTTCAGAACCTACCGATAATCACTTGTGCAAGCATAAGAACCGTAAGTTGACAGTATTTAGTTTATTTTATTTTATGCGCAACAAAAAGGCTGTGCTTAATATTTTGACAAAACTATTTGCATTCAGCAGATATATAGTACAGCAAAACAATTTAAAACTCACAACGATTTAATGGTAAAGATTATAAATAACGTAACGAATATTTTATTTACAATACATTAGTACAATCAATAATACAAATATTATACATATCTAAATACATGCAAAAGCTCTTATCTGTGAACCGAAAATTCCCTAATAACTTCTTCCCTCCCTCTCGATATCTAACTTTTCTCGAGTACCACCTTGTTCCTAGACTCTCTATGTGTACGTGCTGTTAATACTAAGAGTCTGACATTACCCCAGCTTTTTTAGTCCAGTTCTTACTCTCATTCTCACTAACTTTGAACACTTCTAATTGACTTATTATATGTATGTACAACCTGACAGTGAAACCTCAAATCGATCGTTCAACATTTAAGCGGGTTACAATCAAGACTGGCCGCACCCACAAATGGACAGTGGATGTCATTGGTGAACCAGTACCAACTTTACATTGGAGCTGGCGCGATGATATACCACTTTCCACCGGTGATCGTATAAAAATAGAAAATATCGACTATCGTACTGAATTTGTCATCTCCAATGTTGTACGCAAAGATAGCGGTATGTACACAATTAAGGCAGAAAATCGGAATGGCGTAGATCACGAAACAGTGGAACTAATTGTACTTGGCAAACCAAGCGCTCCAAAAGGACCTTTGGCTATTAGTGATGTAACGGCGAATGGCTGTATGTTGCAATGGAAGAAGCCTGAAGATGATGGTGGCATACCGATTAAGGAGTATGTAATCGAGAAAATGGATACGGCTACCGGAAAATGGGTGCGCGTTGGTCGCTCTCCAGGAGACAAGATGCCGCCAAGCTTTGATGTGACTGGTTTAAATGCGGGATCTGAGTATATGTTCCGGGTAACTGCGGTGAATGAGGAAGGTGAATCCGAACCGCTAACCACATTGGTTGGCATGGTGGCCAAAGATCCATACGATGAGCCGAATAAGCCAGGTACACCAGAAGTTACTGACTATGACAACCAAAGCATTTCAATAAAATGGACCCCACCAATTAATGATGGTGGGGCATCCATTGAAAAATACATTATTGAGAAGAAGGATAAAAACAAGCCGGATTGGGAAAAGACTATTGAAGTGCCTGGAAATCAATTAGATGCCACTATAAGTGGTTTACATGAATATGAGGAATATCAGTTCCGCGTAATTGCTGTGAATAAAGCTGGGTTATCACCGCCATCTGATCCAAGCAAAGTTCAGGTTGCCAAATATAAGAAACGTAAGTACCTTTATGATTTCAGTATTACAATATATTTATTTATGTTTTTTTTATATACATGGCAGACTTGTTAATAAAAAATATTCATAAAAACCTTTTTAAAAATTCGGTAAAATATTATAGTTCTGTACCATAGAGAATAAAGATTATAAGATGTGAATTGAGGTCATTGTAAATATTTGGTCGATTATGGATTTGCTTGTTTGGGTTTTGTTCTTTCATACTGTGATTTACATAAGCCCTTATAACGGATATTGGGAAAGCTTGTCCCAAGATATTTGAGTCAGTCAGATCCTTGTTCTTGATTTGGTAAATCATTTTTCGGTTATAACCATCTTATCTACCATATCCTGCAAAAATTCTGAAGCACTCAATTTGTCATTATCGAATAGCTCAGCGAGTGTACAACCGAGCATCTTCACCGATCAGGGCTGCGCGTTGGCTATTTTAATATTATATAGTTACTTAAATTAACCAGGCTGGAGAACTACCAATAATATTCTTCGAACGTCAGTTATCAGACTACGTCACACATTCCTACAGAACAAATCTCTGGTTTTAAAATCTTATGTAAAATGGTTTTACCAGCATTGCTCCCGTCCCCATCTTTTCAAGGTGCTAAATATAAATTTATTGCCCAGAGATTTCAGAGATAAGGTGAGCAAGTCATGCCTAATTTACCAGGATCGTCTTTTCGATGAGGGCATTGCTTTGCAGAGGTCGTCCTCAAATGTAATTTCTCATTTATTTTACTTTCTCTTATTTTTCAGTCAAACCAAGAATAGATCGCAGTAATTTGAAACCACTACTAATCCGTGCAGGAAAGCCCGTAAAGTATGATATCAAGGTACGTGGCGAATCGCCACCAACTATTACTTGGTACCAAAATGGCAAGGAATTAATATCTGAAAAGTTGCCTTCGAACTATGAAATTAAGAATATACCCCATAATACTAAAATCTCGATAATTGACACCGAACGTAAGCATACTGGCATTTACAAGATACGGGCTGTAAATGAAAGCGGTGAGGACGAAGCCGAAGTGGAAGTTAACATTTTAGGACCACCAGCTAAGCCAAAGGGCCCACTTGAGGTTAGGGATATAACGAAGCATAGCTGCAAACTAAAATGGAAGAAACCAGAAGATGACGGTGGCAAGCCAATCACAGCATACCAAGTTGAAAAGTTCGATAAAAAACAAGGTCGCTGGGTACCAGTTGGGCGCACATCTGGCAATGATACTGAAATCGATGTCAAAGGCCTTCAAGAAGGCCATGCATATCAATTCCGTGTCAAAGCAATCAATGAGGAGGGCGAATCTGAACCACTTGAAAGCAACGGTAGTATTGTTGCCAAAGACCCATATACCGTCGCCGGTAAACCAGGTCTGCCGAAGGTCGATGATTACAGTGAGCATATGATTAAATTGAAGTGGGAACCTCCCAAAGATAATGGAGGTGCGCCAATCTCAGGTTACGTAATTGAGAAAAAGGATAAATATTCACCAATATGGGTGGAGGTGATTACAACAGACGTAAGTGTCAAGTTTGTGTACAAAAAAAATTAAAATGGCTTACATTCAAAGGATTTGATAATTTATTCTTGTAGACACCCAACCCAGAGGCAACTGTTGACAACCTAATTGAAGGCAATGCTTACCAGTTTCGTGTTCGTGCCATCAATAAAGCCGGTCCCAGCGAGCCTAGCGGTGCTACTGAGACCCATATATCCAAGCCAAGAAACTGTAAGGAAAATTTTATACAAATGGTTGTTCCGCCTCAAATGCAGCTGTCGAAATGCTTTTCGCTTATTAAAATCATTTCTTTCTAGGACATGTGAAGTCTTCATTTATATAATTTTGCTAAGCGTAGCTTTTTTGTTGAGATCTGTTTTCGTTTTTAGTTTTTAATTTAATATAAATTTATTTATTCTCAGTGAAGCCACATATTAACCGTGATAAGATGAAACTTGTTAAAGTACGAGCAGGCCAAACGGTTAAGTTCGATGTTGACGTGAAGGGTGAACCTGCACCAGCATTGACTTGGATATTTAAGGAGAAAGAGCTATCCAGTGATAATCAAGTACGCTTAGAAAATGAGGACTATACCACCAAGCTAACGATATTGGACACTACACGTGTACAAAACGGATTTTATAAATTAAAAGCTGAAAATGAAAATGGCATTGACGAAGCCGATGTTGAGGTCATTATACTTGATAAACCAGCTAAGCCTGAAGGCCCTTTGTTCCCATTCGACGTACATAAAGAGGGCTGCAAATTGAAGTGGGGAAAGCCAAAAGATGATGGCGGTGTACCTCTGTCAGGCTATGTCATTGAAAAGATGGACATCTCTATTGGACGTTGGGTACCAACCGGCTCGGTTGATCCCGAAAAGACAGAGTATGAAGTTAAGGGTCTTGAGCCTAATCATCGTTATCAGTTCCGAGTGAAAGCGGTAAACGAAGAAGGTGAATCAGATCCTTTAGAAGCTGACCAGACTTTAGTAGCTAAAAACCCATTTGATGTATCCGCACCACCTGGTCTGCCAGAGTTGGAGGACTGGGACGAACAGCATGTAAAACTTAAGTGGGAGCCGCCTATTCGTGATGGTGGTGCGCCCATCACAGGTTACATTATTGAAATGATGGATAAAGACTCTGGCGAATTCGTTAGAGCCGCCGAGATTAACGATACGATATGCGAGGGCACTGTAAAGAAACTAGAAGAAGGCCAACAATATAAATTCCGTGTTCGGGCATTGAATAAAGCAGGGCCCTCGGATCCATCGGAGCAGACCAATTGGCATACAGCTAAACCACGGTTCTGTAAGTACATTTGATAACTCTTTTTATTTGCAAATTTTTGTATAACTGTTATAATCTTCTTCTTCTTATATAATTTGTTTTTGCTTTTAGTGAAACCATATATTGATCGCACTAATTTGAAACCAGTTGTGGTAAAAGTTGGATTGTCTATCAGTCTGGATATCAATGTTAGAGGGGAGCCCGCGCCGAAAATTCAGTGGTTCTTTAAAGATCAACCACTTGTGTCCGACGAAGAAGGGACTAAAATCGATAGCGTCGATTACAATACCAAATTCTTTGCTATACGCGCCAAACGTACGCAGAGTGGAAAGTATTTGATCAAGGCCACAAATGAGGTTGGAGAAGATGTTGCAGAGCTAGATGTTACAGTTTTGGGTAAGCCTGGTAAACCAAAGGGACCACTACAAATTAATGATATCACCAAACATGGATGCAAATTGAAGTGGCAAAAACCTGATGATGATGGCGGCTCACCAATAGATTATTACGAAATTGAAAAACTTGATCCGCACGCTGGACAATGGATACCGTGTGGTAAAAGCGCTGAACCACAGGCCAAGATAATTGGTTTACAGGAGGGAAAGCCGTATAAGTTCCGTGTGAGAGCAATTAACAAGGAGGGTGAATCGGAGGCCTTAGAAACTGAGAAGGAAATTATTGCTAAAAATCCATTCGATGAACCAGATAAGCCTGGCCGCCCAGAGCCAACTAACTGGGATAAGGACTTCATCGATTTGGCTTGGGACCCGCCAAAGAACGATGGTGGCGCCCCAATACAAAAATACATCATACAAATGCGTGATAAATCTGGGCGTGCGTGGGTGGATGTCGCTGCAGTGCCGGGTGATCATACAAAAGGTACTGTTACAAATATTGAAAAAGGCCATGAATATGAATTCCGTATTGTTGCGGTCAATAAAGCTGGACTAAGTGAACCCAGTGACGTCTCAAAATCTGTTGTCGCGAAACCACGCTTCCTCAAACCAAACATTGATCGCAAGAACTTACAGAAGAAAGTATTACGCAGTGGACAGATGTTGCATATGGAAGCGGCAGTGAAAGCTGAACCACCAGCAAAAGTAACTTGGACTTACAATAACGAAGTTCTCAAGACAGGAGATCGTATTAAAATCGAGAATGAAGAATATAAAACTACATTCATTATGCCTAAAGTTAAGCGTGTAGATAAAGGCATATACATTGTCACAGCCAAAAATAGTTCTGGTACTGATGCTGTCGAAGTCGAATTAGAAGTACTGTGCATACCTAGCAAACCAAAGGGCCCGCTTGCAGTTTCAAATGTAACTGCTGAATCTGTACATTTGAAATGGGATAAGCCTGATGACGATGGCGGCGAACCAATCGAACATTATGTAGTAGAACGTATGGATACCGAAACTGGCCGTTGGGTGCCAGTATGTACAACCAAGACACCAGAAGCGGATGTTACTGGTATAGTAGAAGGTAAACAATATTTGTTCCGAGTCAAAGCTGTTAATGCAGAAGGTGATTCAGAACCTTTGGTTACTGAGACACCCACAACAGCCAAAAATCCTTATGACGCTGCAAATGCACCAGGAAAACCACAAATCTTCGACTGGTCTGCTAAGCATGCTGATTTGAGTTGGCGTCCATCAGACGATGACGGTGGTTCACCGATTACAAGCTATGTTGTTGAAAAGAAGGATAATAACACCGGTAAATGGCAAAAAGTATTAGAAACGAGCACTCCCGATTGCAAGGCACGAGTTAATGATCTTATCGAGGGCACAAAATACCAGTTCCGGGTTAAAGCTGTCAATAAGGCTGGCCAAAGTAAGCCTTCAGAACCATCTGATCAAATAACAGCAAAGGATCGCTTCACGCCACCGAAAATTGATAAAACAAATATTAAGGATATAACTATAAAAGCTGGACAACATATTCGCCTTGATATTAAAGTCTCTGGCGAGCCTCCCGCAACAAAAACTTGGTTTCACAACAAAGCGCGCATCGAGGGTCAATCAGATGATGTCAATATCGATATTGAATCGTATCGTACCAAGTTTTCTATACCATTTGCTAAACGCGAAAGTACTGGAAAATATACAATCAAAGCTGAAAACGATTCAGGTCATGACGAAGCTACATTTGAAATCATAGTCTTGGATAAACCCAATAAGCCAGAAGGACCATTGCGCGTATCGGATGTGCACAAAGAAGGTTGCAAATTGAAATGGAATCCACCCTTGGATGATGGAGGCTTACCCATTGAGTACTATGTAGTAGAGAAAATGGATTTGGAAGCTGGTCGTTGGTTGCCCTCAGCACGTGTTAAAGAACCGTTTGTTGAGCTCAAAAATTTAGAGCCTGGACACGAATACAAATTTCGCGTGGTGGCTGTTAACACCGAAGGGGAATCTGAACCGCTAGATGGCGAGCAATCCATTGTAGCCAAAAATCCGTTCGATGAACCTGGTAGGCCCGGTACTCCTGAAGCTATTGATTGGGATAAAGACCATGTGGATTTGGTATGGAAGCCACCATTAAGCGATGGTGGTTCGCCCATTACATGTTATGTTATAGAGAAACGGGAGAAAGGTTCAGATCGCTGGATTAAGGTAGCGGAATCACCAGCTGGTCCCGGTGTTGGAGAATACAAGGCTAGCGTACCAAACCTCGATGACAACTGCGAATATGAATTCCGAGTAAAGGCTTTAAATCAAGCTGGATCTGGTGAACCATCCGACGCAAGCAAATCGGTCATAACGAAACCAAGAAAGAGTACGTATTTTATAAGTCTTTGCTAATATAAATAACTATGAAAATGTATGTATGTTACAGTGGCCCCGAAAATTGATCGACGCCATATTCACACATACAATGTGAAAGCTGGAGAGCCAATACTCTTGGATATACATATCACAGGTGAACCCGCACCGGATGTCACATGGTATCAAAGCAACAAATCCATTCAAACAACCTTAAGTAGGCGCATTGAAGATATTCCCTACAAGACGAAATATATTAACAGCAGTCCTGAGCGCAAAGACACAGGTTTATATAAAATTGTGGCATCGAATAAGTTTGGTCAGGACCAAGCTGAATTCCAGATCAATATAATATGTAAGATACAAACAACCTTCTGCAAAGCAAATATCGTTTATACCTTTTTAATCAACAACTTTATGTAGCTAAACCTGGACAGCCCGAAGGTCCGCTCGACGTAACAGATGTGCATAAAGAGGGTTGCAAACTCAAGTGGAAAAAACCCAAAGATGATGGCGGAGAGCCTATCGAAGGGTATCTGGTAGAAAAATTCGATCCTGAAACTGGCATTTGGCTGACTTTGGGCAAATCTGATGGTCCTGAGTTCGAGGTTGATAGTTTGACTCCTGGACATGAGTATAAATTTCGGGTAAAGGCTTTAAACCAAGAAGGAGAATCAGAACCTCTGGAAACATTTGGCACTATCATAGCCAAGGATCCTTTTGGTATATATTTTTTCAATCTATATATACAAATATGCTCTACAATTTTTTTATATCTCATTAATATATATAGTCACGCCATCAAAGCCTGGAACACCAGAGCCAAAAGATTGGACCGCAAACAAGGTTGAGTTGGTTTGGCAGGAGCCCGCCACTGACGGTGGTTCTCCCATTACCGGTTATATAATCGAAATGAAAGACAAATACAGTCCACTATGGGAGAAGGCTTTGGAAACAAATGATGCCAGTCCCACAGCCTATATTAATGGTTTGATAGAAGGCAACGAGTATCAATTTAAAGTAATTGCTGTAAATAAGGCAGGCGCTTCAGAAGCATCCGATTCCAGTAAACCATTTATTGCAAAGCCACGCTTCCTTGCGCCCAAAATTGATCGTCGTAATTTACGCGACGTAACCATATCTGCCGGCACTCCACTTAAATTTGATGCTGTTATTACTGGAGAACCAGCACCAGCAGTTGATTGGCGATTCAATAAATGTCCCCTGCAATCAAATAACAACGTCACTATTGAGAATCCGAGTTATTTTACAAAGTTGGTTATACGGCCAACAAAACGCGCTGATTCTGGTGAATATGAAGTCACAGCAAAAAATAGTTCGGGCAAAGATAGTGCACTAATTAATGTAGTTATAACCGATAAGCCGAGCCCACCAAAGGGTCCTTTGCAGATTTCTGATGTACACAAAGAAGGTTGTCATCTTAAGTGGAAACGTCCAGTTGACGATGGTGGCACACCTATTGAATACTTCCAGATCGATAAGCTTGATTCGGCAACTGGCTGCTGGGTACCCATTTGCCGATCAAATGAATTGAAAGCAGATATCACTGGTCTTACACCAGGCAGCGAATGTAAATTTCGTGTTTCGGCAATAAATGGCGAAGGAGAGTCAACGCCATTGGTAGGAGATGAATCTATAATAGCCAAAAATCCATTTGACGAACCGGGCAAGCCGGAAAATCTCCGTGCAAATGATTGGGATAGAGATCATATTGACTTAGCTTGGGTGCCTCCTTTAAGTGATGGTGGCTCTCCAATCACAGCCTACATTGTTGAAAAGAAAGATAAATACGGACAATGGGAGAAAGCTCTTGAAGTGTCAGCTGACCAATGCAAAGCAACTGTTCCTGACCTTATTGAAGGAGAAGTGTACGAGTTTCGCGTATCAGCAATGAATGTAGGTGGTATTGGGGAGCCATCCGATGCCATAGCACCCGTAATTGCTAGACCTCGGAATAAGGCCCCATTAATTGATCGAACTAACTTAATTGAAGTGAGACTAAAGGCTGGTCAACCATTTTCCTTTGATGTAAAAGTTTCTGGAGAACCCGCACCTAAAACCAAATGGCTTCTGAAGAAACGTGAAGTAGCTTCGAAAGACAATATAAAAGTAACACACGCCGACTATAATACAAAACTTAAAGTTTTGAATTCAACACGCGTTGACTCCGGCATTTATACCGTGCATGCGGAAAATGCCAACGGCGAAGATTCTGCTGATGTTAGAGTTATTGTAATAGATAAACCTTTTCCACCCAATGGCCCTCTAAAAGTCGACAATGTTCATGATAAAAGCTGCACGCTCCACTGGAATCCACCAGACGATGATGGAGGTCAATCAATTGATTCATATGTTATTGAAAAGATGGACGAGATCACCGGACGTTGGGTGCCAGCTGGCGAAACCGATGGACCAGAAACTAAATTTAATATTCAAGGTTTGACACCGGGGCACAAGTACAAGTACCGTGTTCGTGCTAGAAACAGACAAGGTGTTTCAGAGCCTCTTACCACACCACACTCAACTGAAGCGAAGAACCCTTATGCTGAACCATCTAAACCGGGTACACCTGTGATCAAGGATTTCGATAAGGACTTTGTCGATTTGGAATGGACAAGACCCGAAGGTGATGGAGGCTCACCAATTACCGGTTATGTTATTGAAAAACGTGACAAATATTCGTCAGACTGGGAGGAATGTGCGGAGGTGCCTGAAGATACTTGTAGCGGCTATATCCCAAATTTGACAGAAGGTGTTAAATATGAGTTCCGAGTGCGCGCTGTTAATAAAGCTGGAAAAGGAAAACCTAGTGATACAGCAGCACCACATCTGGCACGAAGTAAGAATGTGCCACCGAAAATTGATCGTAATTACATGTTGGATATTAAGGTGCGTGCAGGTCAAAAATTTGAGTTTAATGTGCCAGTAATAGGCGAACCTGTCCCAGCCAAAGAATGGTCACATGAAGGTAACATGGTTATCAACACAGACCGTGTTAAAGTCATCAATGAAGGACATCGTACCAAAATTCGCGTAATTGACGCCAAGCGTATCGATACCGGTGAGTATACATTAATAGCACGCAATATCAATGGCACAGATCGGGCGACAGTTAAAGTAACCGTATTAGATGTGCCTGCACCTCCGGAAGGTCCTTTGCGGCCAGAAGACGTCACTAAGAATTCCATTACACTAAGATGGCGGCCACCTAAAGACGATGGTGGTTCTGAAATAAGTCACTATGTCGTCGAGAAAATGGACACCGCAGCAATGCGTTGGATACCAGTAGGTGAAACTGCTGTTGTACAAATCCGTGTTGATAATTTAATTGAAGACCACGACTATAATTTCCGTGTCCGTGCCGTAAATAAACAAGGCGAATCGTTGCCATTGGGAACTACACAACCAGTCACTGTCAAAGATCCATACTCACGACCTGATAAACCAGGACAACCACAACCAATTGATTGGGGTAAAGATTTCGTTGAACTTAAATGGCTTGCACCGAAACGTGATGGCGGCTCACCGATAACAGGTTACATTGTGGAGAAACGTCCCAAATTTGGACAATGGGAAAAAGCAGCAGATTTACCATCTGATGAGATTATAGCTCTTATACAAAACTTGACAGAAAAGGGCGAGTATGAGTTTCGGGTGATGGCTGTGAACAAAGCAGGATGTAGTGATCCCTCTGATCCATCACCATTGGTTACATGCACACCACGATTTTTAGCACCATACTTCGACAGATCATTACTAGAAGATATTACTGTGTATGCTGGAAAACGTTTGGGGTGGACACTACCAATAGCAGCTTCTCCAGCACCCAGTATAAAATGGTCGTTTAATGGTATTGAAATTAAGCCGGATTCTCGTGTGGATATAAACCTCTTTCAGAATGAGTTGACATTTGAAATATTATCAGCCCTTCGAGAAGACGAGGGTCGCTATACTTTATCTTTAAAAAATGAGCACGGGTCATTTGAAGCGAGCGCTTATGCGACCGTATTAGATCGGCCGAGTTCACCCATTGGTCCACTCTATGTAACAAACATCACAAAAGAGGGATGCCGTTTATCTTGGGGTATACCACAAGACGATGGTGGTTCACCAATCTTACATTATGTTATTGAAAAAATGGACCTTTCTCGTGGTACATGGTCAGACGCTGGAATGAGCACACATCCTGTGCATGACGTAACACGTTTAACACATCGTAAAGAGTATATATTCCGAATAAAAGCTGTAAATGCCATTGGAGAGTCGGATCCACTGGAATTGCCAAATAGCATTATAGCTAGAAATGAATTTGACGAGCCAGATGCTCCAGGGCGTCCTATGGTTACAGACTGGGATAGGGATCATGTGGATCTACAATGGACACCACCGAAATCCGATGGCGGTGCTCCACTAACCGGATATATCATTCAAAAGAAAGAAAAGGGTAGCCCATACTGGGCTAATACACAACATGTAAAAGCTGACAAGACAGCTATTACGGTACCTGGCCTGACAGAAGGACAGGAATATGAGTTTCGAGTGATAGCCGTTAACAGAGCTGGACAGTCTGAACCCTCTGAACCATCAGATCTTGTTATGGCAAAGACTCGATACCTTGCACCAAAGATTATTACACCACTTCAAGATATTCGAATAAAGGCTGGTCTTATATTCCACACTGTTGTTGACTTCATTGGTGAACCCACACCAGAAGTGATGTGGAACCAAAATAATATTACTTTGACTTCAAATGAGCGCTCAACTATTACATCCATCGGACACCATACTGTTGTACATATTGTTAATTGTCAACGCAATAATTCTGGTACATATCATTTATTGATTCGTAATGACTCAGGTATAGATGAAGGCAGCTTCCAATTAATTGTTTTAGATCGACCAGGACCACCCATAGGTCCCTTAGAGTACGAAGAGGTTACTTCTAATTCAGTAACTATGTCTTGGAAACCTCCAATCGATAATGGTGGCTCTGAAATTTCATCATATGTCATTGAGAAGCGCGATCTCACTCACGGCGGTGGTTGGGTGCCTGCGGTTACATATGTAAATGCGAAATATAATCATGCTGTTGTACCTCGCCTATTAGAAGGGACTAAATACGAATTCCGTGTAATGGCTGAAAACTTGCAAGGTCGCTCAGATGCATTGAACAGCGATGAATCTGTGGTCGCTAAAAACCAATACACGGTACCTGGTATACCAAGTAAGCCCGAATTAGTCGAAAGTGACAAAACCCATATTACATTCAAATGGAAGCCACCGATTAGTAATGGTGGTTCACCTGTTTCGGGTTATGATATTGAACGTCGCGATTTAACAACCGGACGCTGGGTTCGCATAAACGCCGAGCCAGTACCAACTATGGAATATACCGACGAACGCGTAAGTCCGGATCATCAATATCATTATCGTGTATCCGCTGTGAATGCAGCGGGTAGTGGAAAACCATCCGAACCTTCAAATATGCTCAGTGCACGTCCGATGCGTGAAAAGCCTAAACTACATCTGGATGGTCTTATTGGTCGCAAGATTAAAGTTCGCGCTGGTGAACCCGTCAATATCAATATACCCATATCAGGTGCACCAGTTCCAGTCATTGAGTGGAGGTGTGGTAAACTCAAACTACTTGAAACAAATAAGATCTCTTATAATACTAATTCTGAACGAACGATATTCCGCATTGATGATTCTACAAGACAAGATGCTGCTGTGTATACAGTAACCGCCGAAAATGAGTTCGGCATAGATTCGGCAGACTTTGAAATTATAGTCGTTGATAAACCCAGTCCACCTCAAGGACCTCTCAACTACACAGTGGTTGCACCAGATCATATTAGTCTAGAATGGAATCCAGCTAAAGACAATGGTGGAAGTGATATTACTGGCTATATAATTGAATTTAGTGAGTTCGGTGTAGATAATTGGCGTCCAGTGCCTGGTTACTGTCCCAAGACAACCTACACTGTCAAAAATCTAATCGAAGGGAAAAAATATGTGTTCCGTGTCATGGCTGAAAATATTTATGGCATTTCCGAAGCGTTGGATGGTAAACCGGTTATAGCTAAATCACTTTTTGATCCACCAGACGCACCCAGCCAACCCAAAGTTACTGCTTATTCTCCAAGTTCGGCAAGCTTAGAATGGCATCCGCCAGAGTGTTTTGGCGGAAAGCCTATCACTGGTTACGTGGTAGAACGGCGAGAACGTGGCGGCGAATGGATTAAATGTAACAATTATCCAACACCAAACAGGAGCTACACCGTGCAAGACTTACGTGATGGCAATCGCTATGAATTCCGTGTGATTGCTGTAAACGAAGCAGGTCCTGGGAAACCATCGAGGCCATCTGAACCAATTACGGCACAATTACAACGCTACAGACCCGATGCACCAGAGCCACCTAAAGCAGATCGAATTACCAAAAACGGTGTCACACTTTCATGGAGGCCACCACGTTTCGATGGTAAATCGAAAATTAAGGGATATTACTTAGAAATGCGACCTAAGGACTTAAAAAGCTGGGCTCCGGTTAATCAGTTGCCAATCATGAATACAGTTTATCATATACCAAATCTAGAGGAAGGCATGGAATACTCGTTCCGAGTGTTTGCTGTAAACGATGTTGGACGTTCCGATCCTTCAAAACCTTCTCAGCTAATTGGGATTGAGGAGCAACCAAATAAACCGCGTATGAATCTCGGCGGTGTTCGTGATATTGTTTGTCGCGCTGGCGATGATTTCTGTATACATGTGCCATACACTGGTTTTCCCAAACCAAGTGCCCATTGGTATTCGAATGATATAATCATAGAAGATGATGGTCGTCGTATATTCCAACATTTGACTGACGATGCTGCGTCATTTGTTGTCAAGAACTCGAAACGCACAGACTGTGGGCAATATAGACTACAATTGAAGAATTCTTCAGGATTTGACACTGCTACGATTAATGTTAAAGTGTTAGATCATCCTCAAGAACCTACAAATCTCTGTGCCGATGAATTTGCAGGCGATGCCTTAACACTTTATTGGGCTCCGCCCAAAGATGATGGTGGTTCATCTGTTACAAATTATGTAATTGAAAGAAAGGAGAGATCATCCAACACATGGGCTAAAGTCAACAGTTACTGCACCACACCATTTTTACGCATACGCAATTTGACACTCGGCCAAGATTACGACTTCCGAGTTTATGCTGAAAATAAATATGGTGTATCTGAACCCATTGTAACCTCGGAGCCCATACGCGCACGCCATCCATTTGATATTCCGAATGCACCTGGCATCCCACGTGGAATTGACTCAAGTGAGGATAGCATAACAATCACGTGGACTAAACCAAGGCATGATGGTGGCTCGCCTATTAGTGGTTATGTCATTGAAAAACGTTTGATCAGCGAAGAGAAATGGACCAAAGCCATTCACGCACTTTGTCCAGATTTGACTTGCAGAATACCCAATCTAATTGAAAATGGTGAATACGAAGTTAGAGTAGCTGCCGTCAATGCAGCTGGACAGTCACCTTATAGTGCTTCTAGTGACCCCATTTATTGTCGCCGCCCACCACTTGCACCGAAGATTACCTCAGATTTATCTATAAGAGACATGACAGTCATTGCTGGCGAAGAGTTCCGCATTACAGTTCCGTACACAGCAAATCCACGGGCTACACCAACGTGGACCATAAATGGCCAGGAAGTCATACAAGATGACCGCATACGGTTTAATACACACGACTATAGTTCTGTTTATTATAATAAATTAGCTAAACGCTCCGAGACCGGGTCTTATACCATTAGTTTATCTAATAGTAAAGGATCAGACACAGCATCCTGTCATGTCACAGTGATGGACAGACCAAGTCAACCACAAGGGCCATTGTCAGTCTTCGATATAACACCAGACACTTGCACGTTGTCTTGGAAGACACCATTGGATGACGGTGGATCGCCAGTAACCAATTATGTTGTCGAAAAACTAGATAATAGCGGTACCTGGACGAAAGTCAGTAGTTTCATACGTAACACCCATTACGATGCTATGGGATTAGAATCAAATCGCAAATATTACTTCCGAGTACGCGCCGAAAATCAATATGGCCTCTCAGATCCCCTTGAACTAGCCGACCCAGTTGTTGCTAAATATCAATTCACAGTGCCTGATGCACCTGGTCAACCTAAGGTAATCGATTGGGACTCCGGCAATGTCACACTTATATGGGCCCGTCCGTCTTGTGATGGTGGCTCCCGTATACAAGGTTATCAAATCGAATATCGTGATATTGTAAACGACTCATCATGGAATACTTACGAGTATTTAATTAAAGATACCAAATATCAACTTTATAACCTTACCAACGGCTATGAATATGAATTCCGCATAAAAGCGAAGAATGCGGCTGGTTTCAGTAAAGCATCCCCATCATCAACCAAATTCAAGTTAAAAGGTAAATTCACTGTGCCCACATCACCAGGCATTCCTCAGGTTACAAAGGTTGGTAAGAACTATGCTGACCTGAAATGGGAAAAACCGAAAAACGATGGAAATTCACGTATAACTGGGTATATTGTAGAACGTCGCGATGTTGGCGGCGCGGTTTGGGTAAAATGTAATGATTATAATATCATGGATACCGAATACACCGTTCTTAATTTGATTGAATTGGGCGCCTATGAATTTCGCATATTTGCTGTCAACGCAGCTGGCCGTTCGGAGCCAAGTTCATGCACAATGCCAATTAAGATATGCGAAGTGATTGGGGGTGAGAAACCAGAGTGGATTATACGCTTACAAGATCGTATTGCACCATGCGGCAAGGACTATACATTACAATGCCAAGCTATAGGTAAGCCCTTACCAAATGCCAGGTGGCTACGCAACGGCAAGGAAATACAAATGAGCGGCGGACGAATTGTATCCGAGAGGAAAGACGGCATATTCCGATTACATATTTCAAATGCACAATCTGGTGACGAAGGTGACTACACGTGCGAAGCATTTAATTCGCTCGGATTTGTGCATACGACTGGACATTTGAAAATTGGCTCACCACCAATTATAACACGTTGCCCAAGAGAACTTTTACTTGCTGAAGGTGACAATACTAAAATTAAGATACATTACAATGGTGATCAGCCAATGAAAGTCATAGTCAGCAGAAATAACGAAATTATTACGGAAAAAGATGAACCACACATCAAATGCACTAGTTTTGATGATTACGTTACCATATTTATTCGAGATATTGTGAAGAATGATTCTGGATTTTATCAAGTAAAATTTGTAAATGAGTCTGGCTCTGCAGTAGGACAATTTGACGTACGCATTACTGGTTTACCTTCTGCTCCAACAGGACCAATGGGAGTGTCCCATATCAACAAACATACTTGTACTATAGCATGGCGCCCACCGGCATTTGATGGTGGTTTACGTATAACTCATTATGTCGTTGAACGTAAGGATGTCACCTCACCTCATTGGATAACTGTATCCAGCTTCTGCAAAGATTTATCATTTAATGTGCAAGGTCTTACCGAAAACCAGGAATACATCTTCCGTGTAGTGGCCGTAAATGACAATGGTATAGGTCCACCGTTGGAAAGTTTGAATCCTATTCGAGCGAAGGCACCTATTGATCCACCCTCACCACCAGGTAAGCCAAGCGTTACCGAAGTTGGTGGAGATTTCGTGCATTTAGAATGGGCGAAGCCAGAATCAGATGGTGGCACACATATACAAGGTTATTGGGTGGATAAACGTGAAGTTGGTAGTAGCACATGGCAACGTGTCAACGTTACCATTTGTCTTACCAATCAAATCAATTGTTCGAATTTGATTGAAGGTCGTCAGTACGAATTCCGCATTTTTGCGCAAAACGAAGCTGGTTTATCAAAAGAATCTACGAACTCCACGGTCTGTAAGGTGATCGATCCACAGGCTGCTACACCACCAATTATTGTCAAACCTCTGAGTGATGCAACATGTATACAAAATCACAACGCACAATTCACATGTACAATTACTGGCTTACCCTGTCCCATTATTACTTGGTATAAGGGCGCTCGGGAAATTACAAATGGCGCACGTTATTATATGTATGCTGAAGGCGACAACTATTTCCTCAATATCACTGACGTTTTTGGCGAAGACGCTGATGAATACGTTTGTCGTGCAGTTAATAAGGCCGGAGCAAAATCAACGCGAGCCGCCTTGGCCATATTGAGTAAGTAAACTATTAGCTTTTTAAGATCGGAAAATAATTAGAGAGAGTAGTATAAAAATTATATTCAGTTCTTCTCTTCGCCTTTTTACGTTAGTTGGAAATACCAAGTGAAACCACGTAATCCTTCTAACGGAGCGGATACTTCATCGAATACTTTCATGTACTAGCCAGCGCAGCCGCTATCTCTTCATTCGCTAAACTATATCTATGTCACTGTATAACTCATATAGCTCCTCATTATATTATCAGCAGTATTGGCCATTGCCAATTCGCAAAGGACCGAAAATCGTTCGCAAAACTTTTTCCTCTAGAGTTGGTTTTGGCTCGTCAACGGAGGACTTTACTGCCTACTCAGACCAAAGTATTGCGACGTGACATTGTTATTGTTGTTAATGTTGGCCCCTAGGTGGTAAAGGACTGTCATTGGCATACACTAGGAGTTATATACTCTTGTAAAAGAGTGTGCCTTGATTGTATAGCTCTGCAGCTCTTATTGTTTTCTCCAGCAAGAAATTGAAAAAATCGCGCGATAAAGAGTCCCCTGTCTGCAACCCTGTTCGGTATCTAACGGGTAGGAGTGGTCCTTCCTCATACTGATTGTGCTTCTGGTGGTGTCCACCGACAGTTAAAATAGCCGTATAAGTTATGCAGGAAACAAAATTCAGACATAGTGGCGTAGAGAAAACTCCTTTTCTTGCTGTCGAAGGCGGCTTTAAAATCGAAGCGGTGGTGTGTGTCGATCCTTTTGCACGGGTTTTTCCGTAGATTTTTAGCATGGTGAACATCTGGTCAATGGTTTATTTACCAAGTCCAAAGTCACACTGAAAAAGTCCAATCAGCTATTTGATGGTGAGCATAAACCTTTCACATAATACGCTCGATTGGACCTTCTATGTGATATCAAAGAGGCTTATCCCACGGTAATTGGCACAGGCCGTGGGATCCCTCTTTTAATGCATTGACAGAGCACACTTAAGTTCCAGTCGTAGGGAATGCTTTCAACCTACCATATTTTGCAAAAAAAAATGTTGGGTGCACCCTGTCAGTTCTTTACCACCATGTTTCAATATCTCAGCCATAAAACCGTTGGCTCTATGTTGTTCTTTAAGAGGGCAATCACTATTCTAATCTCGTCAACGTCGGGTAATCGAAAGTATTTTCATCATCGTCATTGATTGGGGTTTCGGATTCGTTATCCCCTGGATTTGAATTTCCACTGCCATTCAGCAGACAGGAAAAGTGCTTTCTCCATAAAGCAAGTACGCCCTGGGCATGGGTTACCAGATTTCCACATTGATTGCTATTTGCGTATGCTCCGGTCTTGAAACTTTCGGACGCCTTATTTTCAAAGAATTTCCGGCCATTAGCGTTGCCGGCGGGCTTCTCGAGCTCAACATTCTTACGCATTTTGACCCCTTTCTTCTTTCGTATGCAAATCCATCTTGTTTCCCCTCTTCAGCTCTGGGAATTTTTTCCACCCTTCACGAGTAGTGTTCGATCGCAACGTTGCGAGGTGGGCAGTCTGTTGCAGTTGCTGATGAGTGCTCTCAGAAAATAGGTCTTTGATAGTCAGAGGAGCATGCGTATTTTTGTTGCAACAAGGTAGTGGTCCGAGTCGATTTTATGTACTTAGAATGTACACACATCTAGAACACACATCGTTAGAAGGGGGTCTCTTATACGAGTACGCATGACCAAATTCAGATGTACTGCAAATTCAAATTTAATTTGACTGCTGGTAAATAGCAGTTTACATGTAGGAAGAGGCATATGTCTTATGGTATGGCCAGAAAGCCATGTAAGAGATAATCCAGTATAATCTGTACCCTCATACCCAATACTCTTAGATGAACACCACTGAAATGTTGCACTTCAAAGAATAACATAGCTAAGCAGCTGAGGTTGCTAACAGTTGTCGTCTCCAAGCGTGTTTACGAGTATTACATCTGTATTTACAGCTTCAACAGTACCACCTGTTGTGAACTTCTCGTCACTACATAACCAAACCCCCCTGAAGTTCGGCTGAGAGGGCAAAAGCTCCAATCTACCGAAGGCATATTACGAACACTTAATAGATATTTGTTATTACTTTATTGATGGAAGATATGTATCTATCTATGAGTGTATGTATGTACATATAATATGTATTTGCCTTATAATTTCTCCTGTAGCTGCACCGAAATTGAATGTACCACCGCGCTTCCGTGACACTGCATACTTTGACAAGGGTGAAAACGTTGTTATAAAAATACCTTTCACTGGTTTTAAAAAACCTAGAATAACTTGGATTCGAGAAGGTGAAACAATTGAATCCGGCGGACATTACTCTGTGGAAGTAAAAGAGCGCCATGCAGTATTGACAATACGAGATGGCTCAAAACTGGACTCTGGTCCATACGTTATAAACGCAGATAATGATCTTGGCTCCGACACAGCCACGATTAGAATACAGATCAGCGATCGTCCAGACCCACCACGCTTCCCTTTGGTTGAGAATATAAGCAGTGAATCGCTATCTCTTAGTTGGAAAGCACCAGTTTGGGATGGTGGGTGCCAAATAACAAGTTATTTGGTCGAGAAACGTGAGAATCCAATGTCATCATGGATACGCGTGGGCAATACAAGACTCACTTCAATGGCCGTGACTGGTTTGACGCCAGGCAAAGAATACGAATTCCGCATTTACGCCGACAATGTGTATGGACGTTCGAATCCATCTGATACCAGCACACTAATAAAAACAAGAGAAATCATCAAGAAGAAGCCAATTGAAAAACGTTGGGAAATCGATGAAAGCGGAAACAAAATACGCGGAAAAGCTGATGGACCAATTAGGGATTACGACTCATATGTCTTTGATATATTTTCGAAGTTTGTACCACAACCAGTTGAAATTTCACACGATAGTGTCTATGATAAGTATGAAATACTGGAAGAAATTGGTGCTGGAGCCTTTGGTGTTGTACATCGGTGTCGCGAACGCAGCACGGGTAACATATTTGCTGCGAAGTTCATACCTGTTTCACATGCAATCGAAAAAGATCTAATAAGACGTGAAATAGATGTTATGAATCAATTACATCACCAGAAATTGATTAATCTACACGATGCATTTGAAGATGATGACGAGATGGTGCTCATATTGGAGTTGTAAGTATTATATATATATATATATATATACATAATGGCATGCCAGAAAGGATAAATTCATACTGAATAGAAAAAAAGTAGACAGCAAGAAATTTCAATTTAGTGAACTTAATTTTATAGCTTGTCCGGTGGCGAGTTATTCGAGCGTATAACCACAGAGGGTTATCGCATGACTGAAGCGGAAGTAATCAACTATATGCGCCAGATATGTGAGGGCATACGACACATGCACGAAAAGAATATCATTCATTTAGATATAAAACCTGAGAATATTATGTGCCATACTCGCACCAGCACTAATGTTAAGCTGATTGATTTCGGTCTGGCTACCCGCTTAGATCCAAGCGAAGTAGTTAAAATAACAACTGGCACAGCCGAATTTGCGGCACCTGAAATTGTAAATCGCGAACCAGTCGGGTTTTACACGGATATGTGGGCCACAGGTGTACTGGCATATGTACTGTAAGTATTTTTTTTTGTCTCAAAAACGAAAGACCACAGCTTTTCAATCTAATTAACATTTCTAGTTTAAGTGGTTTGTCACCGTTTGCCGGCGATAATGATGTCCAAACTCTCAAAAATGTTAGAGCATGCGACTGGGACTTTGATGCAGATGCTTTCTGTCATATATCCGACGAAGCAAAGGACTTTATAAGGAAACTTCTTATTGCCAATAAGGAAAAACGTATGACAGCACATGAATGCCTTTTGCATCCATGGCTTACCGGTGATCATAGTGATCGTTCAGCGCAAATTTCGCGTGAACGCTACCTCGCTTTCCGTGATAAACTTCGAAAGAAATATGAAGATTTCTATAAATATTTACTGCCAATAGGTCGCCTATCAGAATATTCGTCCTTGCGCAAATTGTTTATGGAAAGATATAAAATGCATGAGACATCGTTTGATCGTCGACAAGCGGCACCACGTTTTGTTATCCGACCATCATCACAATTCTGTTATGAAGGACAGAGTGTTAAATTCTATTGTCGTTGTATAGCTGGCGCAACACCAACACTAACATGGTCGCACAATAATGTAGAACTACGACAAAGTGTTAAATTCATGAAGCGTTATGCCGGTGATGATTATTATTTCATTATAAACCGCGTTAAACTTGATGACAGAGGAGAATATATTATACGGGCCGAAAATCATTACGGCTCACGTGAAGAGGTTGTATTCTTGAACGTACATCCGCTACCTAAAGAACAGCCTCTTTATCGCAGCGAAACTACACCAGTGCGCCGACGTGATCCACTTCCTTATATGTTCTGGCAAGAAGAGTCAGAATCAGCACCCAGCTTTACATTCCTCTTACGTCCACGTGTCATGCAAGCGCGGGATACATGTAAGCTTCTATGCTGTCTCAGTGGTAAGCCCGTACCGTCTGTTAAGTGGTATAAGGATGGTCGGGAACTTAGCAAGTATGAATACTCAATGTCAACATCTGATGGCGTTGTGACAATGGAAATTATTGATTGCAAGCCCTCGGACTCTGGCAAATACATCTGTAAGGCGACTAATTGTCACGGCTCTGATGAAACCGAATGTGTAGTAATTGTAGAAGGCAAGTATTGATACCTTTCTTTATTATTTTTTTTTATTTAGAAACTCCTCCAAATATACGTTGCAAATATGCTATGCATTGGCAAGGGATGGTAGATTACACTAGTTTTCAAAAAAAAAATGTTTTTGACTCCTTTATACAGCTATGAATTATTGTTATTGATTAAAAAGTAAATACTAAATAGAAATATAATATTAAATAGTTTCCATCACGTATATTTTGTTTAGCATTATATTATAATCACATAATTATTTATTGTCATAATCTTGAATACAGATATTGAAAAAACATTAAAATTTATATTAGAATATGTTTATCACATATTAATAGTATTTTACCTTGAGGAATTTTTTATTTTTAAATTTTGAAGTGGAGTTTCACTCTGAATAAAGCATCAGAAATCTGCAAGCATTCTTTCTGATAATTCCCCGTTATAGCGCCTCTCCATTTGCATAGTATCTTGATGTAACCTCTCACCATGTTCATCCGATACTGCTCCAAAGTTAGGTTGGAAGAAATCAAAGTGAGGGTTCAAAAAGTATTTTTTCTGGTTTGCTCAGTTTTATTATAAAACTTGTGATCTTCATTAGCTTGCGTATTTGGTGACCCTCAAAGATTTCTTCTTTTAGTTTTGTATCGCTAATTCGGGGAGTTTTGTCTTTAGATACTGACCTTTCACCATCCATATTCATGGCCTTAATAAAATTCTTCATGAGATCCAGCTTTATTTGGACTGCACGAAGCCAAAAAAAAGTAAAGAAGTCTTGGAACTAAAGGTTCTTCATTAACGTTCTTGAAACCAAGCACTGTATGCTCTTCGTGGCCAGCTTTTTACAACGTAGTGCTTATCTCATGCCCGACTATCGCACTCACACATAAAACAACAATATTTTTTATATCCTCCTTCAAGATCAGTTAACATTGCTACAAATTTAAGATCATTATCTATCATATTTGTTGTATGTGCGAGAAGACCTGAAGGATATTCATTGCCATTTTGAAATAGGAACTTTTGAAACTAAAAGTCGCCACTACTTGGATTAATCAGGAAAGCTTAGTTCTTGAAGAAGATCGTGAGCATTATTACAAAATACCTATCTTAACTTCCATAATCGCTATCTCAATTAAATGAAGTTGCGCTAACGCATGAACAGCAGTAAAAAACATAAAGCTTTAAGCTATTGAAAAAAGGCCTGTCGAAGATTACGTGATTGCAAAGAGAAACAGATCTTGATTCAAGATATGGAATACTTCATACTGATCATATTTTTGTTTAAAGGAGTTGTTAGTTGCAGGCAAGTGTTATTTAAAGGACATCTTGTTATGCTATACATATCCTTGAGAAATAACAAAAAAGCTATTTTTACTTCACAGGAACAGTATATAACCATGAATCAATAAGTTATACACAATATATTTCTTGTAACTAAGCAATTGAAAACAGTATTATTGGAGCGTCAGGAAGCAACATGTTTCATTAACCAAATCGCAACGGACTAGTGATATGTATATACTAATACATATTAAATACATTGAACTAGAATTTTAATTATTCTGCTTGCTTATAGCTTCTTTAAATTTTAATCTTAGTTTTCTAAATCTATATGTATATTAAATGGAGTCTTTTCATAGGAGAATGGGTAACAGCTGAGCAAGCAGAACTTGCTCATAATTTACTACATTCCGGAGGTAAAATATTTACTATCTAAATATTAAGTATACAAAACTGATTTAATTTTAAAATAACACCTTAATTTCATTGTTCATTCCTTTTTACGTATAATTATTAATATATTAATTGGTCACACCCACTAAAACGGTTACCCCAAAAAAATATAATATGCTTATTCTGATATTACTCTATGTATGAAAAAGTATGCATATCGGAATTTTTGACTTGGCCACCATTTCTAAATAATATAAAAGTTTAAGAAAGGAAAATGAAATAAATTTCAGCTTTGTTCAATATGGAACTATTCCGGTACATATGTAGCCTAACATCTTTCTAACTATGTATAATTAATTTGGAGACTACAATCTAATGTAAATTTGTGTTTACTTTTTTTTTTTTTAATTACAATTAAAAATATATGGAAGTTTTCAACTTTGGACATCGAACCTCTCAAAAATTATAAGTTTTCGTTAAGTTTCATCGCTGAACACAATTTTTCGCTCAGTCACCAAAAGTTTGCCATTGTGTCGTGTTGCTTCAATTATTGTAACATTTTTATTTTAAAAGGCGTCCCACCCAAATCCTTCCGCAAAATATTGCACGTAGCGCTGGATAAATATAAGTATTTACTTTTTGGGCAACCCAATACATATTTATGTACAAATGAATTCACGTGCATAGATATGTATGTATATATATATGTACGCACGCTTATGCCTTGAAATAACTATATGTCCAAAATAAATTATATATATTTAAAACAATTTAATCAAAAATCTTTTAATATGTCTAAATTATCATCACCACAATTATTAGTGAAAATGAGAAAAATATAAACATATGAAAATCACATGATTTGATGAATTTCAACAATATTTATTAATATATACAAATTATTAAAAGCCATAAACAAAAGTTAAAGATAACTATCTGCCTTATCAATTTTATGTTTTTTTCCATGTATTTTCTTATTTTACTTAGAATCTTGCACATTCTGCTATTTTGAGCACGAATTATGATGCTCCCTGTTAAATTGCGGTGAAAAATGTTTTCAGATTTGTATTGTATGTTGAAATACGCTTTCATAGCACGAGCCAGCGAAATAATTTGATAATCGGCATGCCCTGGACCTTCTCGCTTAGAATAGTTCTGTTTATCATAATCAAAATGATATGACTGTAAATCAATCCACTTCATATACATACATTGTCGCCGCCATTTACATTTCTCCAAAATAATATATTGATGATACTATATATATATTTTCATTCATAAGAATGTACAATTACTGGCGTACGCCGATGATATTGACATTATCGGCCTCAACAACAACGCCGTTAGTTCTGCTTTCTCCCGGCTTGATAAAAAAGCGAAGCGAATGGGTCTGGTACTGAACGAGGACAAGACGAAATAGCTCCTGTTATCAAACAAACAGTCATCGCATTCGCGACTTGGCTCTCACCTAACTGTTGACAGTCATAATTTTGAAGTCGTAGATAATTTCGTCTATCTAGGAACCAGCATTAACACCAATGATAATGTCAGCCTTGAAATCCAGCACAGAGTCACTCTTGCCAACAGGTGCTACTTTGAACTGAGTAGGTAATTGAAAAGTAGTGTCCTCTCTCGACGAACGATAACCAAACTCTACAAGTCCTTCATCGTTCTCGTCCTGCTTGCTATATGGTAAGGAAGCATGAACGATGACAGCATCTGATGAAACGGAGTTGGGAGTTTTCGAGTGAAAATTTTTTCGTAAGATCTGTGGTCTTTTGCGCGTTGGCGGCGAATACCGCAGACGATGGAAAAATGAGCTGCACGAGTTATTCGGCGACATTGATATATTGTAGTTCAGCGAATCAAGAAGAAGCGGTTACGCTGGCTAGGTCATGTGATCTGTATGGATGCGAATACTGCAGCTTTGAAAGTTTTCGAAGCAGTACCCGCTGGTGGAAGCAGAGGAAGAGGAAGACCTCAACTCCATTGGAAAGACCCGGTAGAGAAGGACCTGGCTGTACTTGGTATTTTCAATTGGCGCCAAACAGCAAAAGGAAGAAACGAATGGTGCGTTGTTGTAAATCGGCTATAGCCGCGTAAGCGGTGTCTACGCCAGTGAAGTAAGTAAGTAATATATTATATTTCATCCAACTTTCGCTGCTGGTGTATAGCCTCGCTCTTCTTGGCAAAGAAGAAGATAAAATACATATGATCCTTGGCCATCGGTTAGTTTTATTCTCGAAACTTAAAATTTTTGAATGAGTAGCCATGCCCATACCTCAACAGCGAAATCGGAAACGACGATGGATGCACTATTTTCGATACTTATACAATATCGAGTCGGGAACATATTAATAATAATAGATGTATAATTAGTATAATGATTGTAGGAATCTACTTTTACAATTTTTACTTGTTATTTTCAACATCTTTGAAATCATTTATGTTAGTTTAATTTTCTACTTCAAATATATTTATTTTTTGATATATTATAATTTTGATTGTGAAACAATTCATTTCTTTAAAACATATTGAGTTGAGTTGAATTGATACGGCTGCTGGTCAACCCAAGCACACTTATTCCAATAGGCCCATTGTGAAGCCACTGAAGCTCCTACCTTCACCTTCTCAAATGATCTAACCATTTCGTGTGCCTTATAAAGTCAACGAGATTTCCAATGTTCGCTGAGGCGAGATAGTCGAAGAAGTGTTTTCCAAGAAACTTGTGTCGCGCGGATGTCAAGGCTGGACCGTGGCTGAAGTAGTGGTCGATGGTGTCTTTCTCTTCTTCGTCCCTACAGCCGTGGCAGAAATCGTTAGAGTAATATTCCATCCTATTACCGTGAAGGCCCATTAAACACTGTTCACTTATTTTATATTACAGTTATTAAATATTTAAAATAAAATTTAAATACAATTTTATCTACACATTTGCATACATACATGTATGTAAAAAGAACTGAAAAATATTTAGATAATATAATATAATTGATAAGTTATTTTAAATATACAATATAGTTATTTTCTAATGTTCCTCTTTCAATATTTTCACCATTCAGAATCGGCAATGAATTAAAAAATTTCTCATTCTCTCTAACCAAGATTGCTATTGAAGTTTCGCTTCTGTCCTGTTTGCCGAGCTGCACAAATTAAGTACACTTCGTTATGTTTATTCTTTAAAATCAATTTTATTTCTTGTTCGTATTTTCACACTTATAATTTTATGATTACATATTTGTTTTCTTATTTGTAATTTCATATATGGGTTATTCAATTACTCAACAGTTTTTACTTTAATTTATTGTTTGCATTACTGCCAATACTGTTACTTACGTAAAGTGGAGTTCAATTGAAATATAATGAGTAGCACTTTATTCACAACGCAAACAAAGTACTTCACGAAAAATAAAAATTATCGCATGAATTAAAATTTGAAATTTAAGTTATTTTAATGGATGGTGGGTTAATGAAGTAAATGCCAATAAACCATTGAATATGTTGCAACATTGTTGACATAAGTTATTTATGTGCTATATACTGAAAGTATATAGGAAATGAATTTGGTGGAGTTGCTAACGTAACTTCTCTCCCCTTTAATTTAGGAATCTCCTGAGTCATAACATCAGTAATTTTGACTTTATTATTTCTTTTGATAATAATGAATATAATTATCATTATTATAATTATAAAAAATATAATATAATTATAAAAAATATTGATGTATATACTCTAAGTGTTGTTCCTTAAAATAATCAATTTCTTCAATTTTATTAATATTTTCCATTAAAAAAAAATTATATCTTCGATACTTCTTCATTATTATCCCATTTTTTATTATTGATTATAATTTGACATCCGTTAAATTTTATCAACAAAATTCCATTAAATAATCTTTTTTTTCGGTTCAAGTTTTATTTAAAGTAATATTGTTGTAGTTTTTCATTAATAATGGAAAAATGTTTTTATTTCAATTTCTTCAAATACATTGTTTTATGCATAAGCAAATATTTTTATTTAAACAATTTTTTAGCGGTAGTTATTGATTTAGATAGATAATGGCTCGAACATTAATTATTTTTGTTTATTGTCTTCTTTAGATATCACTTATGAAATTGGTAGATATATTTAATTTTTGGGGCTCTAATTACAAATATGATACATTGATTTTCATCAACTAATGACCCAAGTTTAGTATTTTATTTAAATCTACATTATAATATTCAATTTGTTCACTTGTATATATATATATTATTATGGAAAACTCCCGTCTTAGAAGCTGAAATATTTTCCTGAATATGTTCTATGTAAAATTTTTAATTTTATTAAGATATTAGATTGAAGAAGTTGTACTTGAACTTTTTCGGTTTGCTTCTGTAGACTATTTATTTTACTACCTATCATTATTCGGTCATGTTGTATCATTGATTTCAGCTTAGAGAACGATTCATTAAAATGAGCATTAATATTATTTTTTTATTTAAATTATCTATAGATTTGTACTTACTTATCTCATTCACCCGCAAATGTTCTTCTACCTCTTGTCTGTCTTCGACATCCATAGTTCCTAATAACCCCTTTTGCGTCCTTCCAACAAAATTCATTAAAACTCTTTTACGTCGATTTGGTGCATTTTTCCTTATCATTTCTTTTTGTATTCCCAATGACTCTGATTTACTTCCAGGTCCTGATCGCTTTATATTATTCTGCATGTCGTTAATAATTTGAAATATTTCCTTAGGATTTATTATGTGTAATACTATATTATATGTATTGACAATGTATCCTTTTTGTCCCTCAAATTGTTCTTTCTCTATCCTTCCGTTTACCGTTGGTATCACTGATATTATTATCAATAACACAATCATCATATACACCTACAAATGAAATAGTTCTTCTAAATTTATAGGGTGTATATTAATTAGAGCCATCTTTTTCTATCTGCGTCCATCACTGCTCTTTAATTCTTTACATATCCTTCCTCTTTATCCTGTAAATTCTTCTCTTTTTTCGTTAAGTTTGT